ACTCAGCCCCTAGCCAGTCAGTGACCTGTCGAGGCAGCGCCTACCCGGACAAGGCCAGTGGCACCTACAAGTCATGGTCAGTTAGAAGAAAACGAGTAGATGCAGCTACAGTGACCCTCCTCGGGCACCCGGACCACACGCACTACTGAGCCTTTGCCTCGGGCTGGAATCAAGTCGGCCACGCGCAGCTCCCAGCCGGGTGTACAGATCAGAAGCTCTGAGGGGCAGCTATCTATGTCTTTGATTAATAAAAAATGGGAGATAAATTAATAATGACTTAATACATGCAATTTGGGATCAAAATCTTCCAAAGCATGGGGGGAATAACAAGAAGGGGAGCTCCTGACAGTGAAAAGTCTGGGAACAGGTGTTATCCTCAGGGGGCGGCCACGGGCCAGGCACTGCTGAGAGAGGGGACAGGAGGTTCTCACACCCACCACGTGACAGTGCAGTGCGTGGGCATCACACATGCTTCCTTCACCCTCATACAACTCTGGGAATATGCTGCCACCCCCACCGTGTAGATGAGTAAACTGAGGCACAGAGAGGCCAAGCTACTTGCTTTGAATACTTACAGAATCAGCAAGAGATCCGAACCTAGGTCAGCTTCATATAAAAAGGAACACCATTTAAAAACTTTTTTTCTTCTTTATTGATTTTTAGAGAAAGAGGAAGGGAGAGGGAGAGAGAGAAAAACATCAATGAGAGAGAACATCGATTGGCTGCCTCCTGCATCCCCCCAATGGGGGTTTGGCCCACAACCTGGGCATGTGCCCTGACCGGGAATCAAACTGGCGATTTCTTGGTACATGGGTCAACGTTCAACCACTGAGCCACACTGGCCGGGCAGGAACAACTATTTTAAAAAGAAGGAACAAAGAGCCCCACCTGTGGCGTCTGGACAGTCTCTCTGGTTTGCGTGTACAAGGAAAGGAAGAGGGACAAGCAGAAGGAACGGGATGTGCACTACGCGTGCTGGGCACTGCTCATGCTGTTACTGCTGAGTCTCGGCCAGGCCGGCACACAGTAGGTGCTCACAGACGAGAGACCGAAAGCTTGGAGGCATCGAGGGACACAGCAGATCCTGAGGTGCAGGAGAGGGAATGAATATTTTTTAGCCTCTAGTTTCTGAAGCACTTTGAGTAGGTGTATTTAATCTTATTTTTAAAAAATCTTTAATTATGGAACTATTTCAAACACAAAAAAGGTAGGCCAAAATAAAGCAGAATCAGTGACCCCATCACCCAGATTCACCAGATGTTCACATTTGCCCATACTAATTCAAATATTTTTATAATGCAGTGATACCACCGAAAGCCCTCTACCAACCCCATAGTCCCTCCCTCTGTCCCCAGGGGTTACCAGTATCCTGGGAGTTGGTGAAACTCCTCCCTGAGCATTTGACGTCATTTGTGGTTTTAAACTTTCCAAATATGGTTGTCTCACTGTACCTTTCCTTTTACAGTTGCTTTTCACTCAATCATCATGTGTTTAGAATTCAGACGATGTTGATATGCATAGACCTGGTTCATTCACTTTAACTGCTGTGCGATATTCCGCCGCACCGGTCTCTACAGAAGTTTATTTCTGCTCTTACTGGTGGGCAGGTCGGTGCTTTTTATTCTTTTTATTGCTATTTCAGACAGTGCAGCAGTGAGAACCTTTACACACATCTGGTGCACTGGCACATACGACCATCATAACAACTGCAGCACGCTGAAATGTGTGCACCCCCACGTGACCCTGGAGAGCTGCTGAAAGTCTCACAAGTTCAGTTTCCTCATCAGTAAACTGGGGCACTAAAATAGCATGCATTTTGCAACCTGTGAAGTACTCCATGAGTCTTAGCTGGCTGTCATTCAGGTAGTGACGTTCAGGATGTACTGAGCACCCTCCCACCCTGGGGACACAGTGAACAGGCTATGGTGTGCTCACGTGCAAACGAGACAGTCTCAACAACAGAAGTACGCACGCGGCTGCTCACTGTCCAGCCCGGAGGGGCGGGGGCAGGCAAGGCTTCAGAGAGGAAGTGCACTGAGCTGAGCCCTTAGAAGACAAGGAGGCCGGGAGAGTGGTGACAGGAGGATGGTGGGATGGCCCAGGCAAAGGAAGCAGATGTGAAGGGAATGACTGATGCGAGAGAGCGAGTTTGGGACTTAGGAGTTGGGGGGCAAGGGGTCAGTGTCATAATGGAAGTCTGGAAAGGTAAACAGCTGAGAGGCTACATCCTGAGAGTAGCAGGTTGCCATCGGAGGATCTTAAGCAAGGGAGTGACAGGCTCAGACTAGTATGTGTCAGAGAAAGTGGCCTGGCCCTGGCCAGTTTGGCTCAGCAGTTAGAGCGTCGGTCTGCAGACCAGAGTCCCAGGTTCAGTTCCTGCTGGGGGCACGTGCCTCAGTTGCAGTTTGTCCCCAGCCCTGGTTGGGGTTGTGTGGGTGGTGACCAGTTGATGTGTCTCTCTCACATCGATGTTTCTCTCTCTCTCTCTCTTCCCCCCTCTCTCCCTCCCACTCTATCTGAAAATAAATGCAAAAATGTCCTCGGATGAGGATACAAAAAAAAACCACAACATATTATTGCAGTTTGGCTCAGCGGTTGGAGCATCGGCCTGTGATCCCGAGAGACCCGGGTTCAGTTCCTGCTGAGGGCACGTACCTTGGTTGCAGTTTGTCCCCGGCCCTGGTTGGTCATGTGGGTGGCAGCCACTCGATGTGTCCCTTTCACATCAATGTTTCTCTCTCTTCCTCCCTCTCCCTCCCACTGTATCTGAACAAAAAAATGGGAAAATGTCCTTGGGTGAGGGAAAAAAAAAGAAAAAGTGGCCTGAATGGACTCTGGCCTGTGCCTACGATAATGCATGGGCACTCCGGAATGGGCTGAGAGGGCAATCTCATGTCAAGTGTTCTCACCGCAGTAAAAGAATTCGGTCCGGCTGCACTGTGGACGGGGTGGGGGAGGCTGGGGCTGGCAGCTCAGGGAGGGGATGCTCGCGTGGTGTGGACACAACATGGTGAGGGCCAGCGAAGGCAGTTGTCGTGTTTGCTGCCGTCACCCTGACAGCATACCCCCCACAGCATGCGGGGTGGGCATTGCCAGGCGAGATGGCAGGAGTGGGCCAGCTGACGGGAACCTCACCCTCCAGCCAAAGAGGTCCATCCTCACACATCCCAACCAGTCCTCTTCTTGGGCTCCCCTAGCACCTTGAGAGGCTCTCTGCTTTCCAGATGATATGAGCCCTTTGGCACCTCGGCACCAAGGGCGTGGCTGGGGCCTCCCCAGTATCCAGGCTGCACAGATCCCACGTGGAGAGAGGGGAAGAGGAGGGTGACATCATAGGACGAGAGGGGCTATTGATGACCACCGGGTGGCCTTGTCTAATATCTACGCATCAAATATCTAAAACGGGACAAAGACAGACACAGAAGAACTGCCCCACACCCCTACCCCTTTAGTGGGGACCCCTATCACCCTTATGAACAAGGACTTGACCTTGGCAGCCTCCACCCTCAGAGCAGAGACGTGCCGGCCCTCTCCTTTGCCAGCCGCTCTCCACGCTCTCCACACCCGTCTAGAACGTGACCCTGGGCTTCAGGGTCAATGTCTGTTCTCCTTCGGGCTGTAAGCCCCGCCGAGTGGGCTACGAGAGCTGCGCCTGCCTTTCACAGTTTCCTCGGTGCCTGGCACAGAGTCCGGCTCGTAACAGGGCCCCCGGGAGCACCTGCGCGGAGAATAGCGCGGTGTGCTGACTGAGGGGAGGGGGCGTGGGGGAAGACGTCCGGGTCCCCGAGGCCCAAGGTGAGGCGGAGAGCCCAGCTCCTGCTGGGACCTCTGACTCAGGGCAGGGCCCTCCCGCACACCACACTGTGCCAAAGAGGGGCTGCAACAGCCCAGAGCTCCCCAAAGCATATCCCATGGATCGCTGGTCTCAAAAGACTAGTGGATGAAAATGTTCTCCAGTTAAATAAGCTTGGGAAACCCTGGGTTTAATCAAAATGAAAAAGGTTTCTTTACCGTTGGACTTCCCAGAGCCTTTGGCATAGGTACATAGAGTCTCAGTGAAGGTCACGTGCAGCGCCCCACACCTATCTGACCAGGGGACTTTGCCTGCGAACAGTGTGAACCTTGGCACCATCCCCCACATGCGTGTCGTGATTCTTTACTGAACATGGTGGAGCACAGAGATTTGTTGCAACTTTTTGGGCAGTACAAGGAATCCCTTTCTTCACAAATGGAAATTAATCCAAGCCCAAGACATGAATGGGGAAAATGAGACTGCCCTCGTGGAGGGGGCCTGGAGACGCCATGTGGCCCTCCTGTACTGCGGAGCCCAGTCTGGAAACCGCTGGCACAGGCCCTGAGCGCAGGCTGCCACGGGAGACCGTGCTTCTAGGCGGCCCTGCCGTGGACCGGTTTCCCTCGGTCAGGGCACTGGGCCTTGGCTTCCCCACGGATCCAAGGAGCCTGGCACACTGGATGCTCTCTGGAGCCCTGAACTTTGATCCCTGACAGGATGAGAACTGAGATTCTGTGACTGTGAAATTCGAACTCAGGATTCTGAGGTCCTCTCACCCTGAGAGTCCATGACTTAGCATTCTGATCCTGGGACTGCCCGTCGCCTGTGCGGGTGCGGCGCACTGGGGCCCGCCTGTGGAGAGCAGACTTCATTAACTGCAGGGGAGGCCATGCCCCATGCAGGATGGAGGGGCGAGTGTGGAGGGGAGGGGTAGGTGGATCAGAATCAGCATCCACTCAGTGGGCAGAGCAGGGAGAAGGACCCAGGTCTCCTGATTCCTGCTCTATCTTTAGATCTCCATAGCAACTGTCACCAGGGCACCAGAGCTGAAGGGAGGGCTGAGCTGGCTGCGGGCAGGAGGGAGGGGCCTTGCATCTGTGCCTCTTTTGCTGGAGAGAGGACTCTTGGTTGGCTCTGGAGCCAGGGAAGGCAGGCGGAGGGTGAAGCCATTGGCAGCAGCAAAGGCCTACGGCCAAGACAAAACCACATAATCCCAGGCCCACCTCGCTCTGAGAATGTGCTCCGGTCACACCCAGGACCCCGGTGTCAGGCTCGTGGCACTGGAGGCACACTGGGCAAGTCCCTCCCCCAGAGAGCTCTCGGCCCCTCTGTGGTCACTTCCTGAACACTTACGGGACACCTCCCCTGGGATCCCTGAGGCCACCAGGGACGCCCATGCCAGGGGAAGCAGGCGCTGGAATAGGCAGAACAGAGCTCGGTCTGACAGTCGGCACAAGCCCTCCAACCTGAGGGCTCTTCCACCCCTTCTCCTGCCGACTGCTCATCCTGGGCTCGGTCTGACCAGGACCCTCCAGGGCGTCCCCCCTGACTCCCAGGCTGGTTACCCTCCTCCCCAGGCTCCTGCAGCGCCATCTCCCTCCCCACAACGGGATGTCAGCCTGAGGGAGTCGGCAGAGGAGAAACAGGTGTACAGAGGTGAGACATCCACCCAAGGTCACCTGGCGAGTCGGCAGTGGTCTTTCGTCCAGGTCTTCTGATTCCAGTCTGTGCTCTTCCCTGAGTCCCAGTGGCAGGCTTTGGAAGGACAGCCAGCCCTAGAAGAGGAAGTAGGAATCCTCGGCCAGGCCCGCACGCAGCAAGCCCCTGGCCACGTCCTTGGTAAACTCAGCCGAGCCACAGACCAGTGCGAACGGCCTTCTCCGACAGGAGCCAACCAGCTCTTCAATCAGGTCCTGGCCCAGGCGGCCAAAGCGGGTCTTCTCCCGGTAACTCCAGGGCAGCTGCTCCAGCGAGTTCTCCTGGGACGATGAGAAACGGGGTGACCACTGGTGGGGCCCTCAGAGTACATGCGGCCAGCTCTCTGCCAAACGGGGAAACTAAGGCAGAGGGCGTGGGAAGGCAGCGCTCCCTAGCCCGGCCAGGAGCCAGGCACTTGCTCACATGCTGGGACTCAGCACCCCCACCCAGCCTGTGGGCATGACCCTCCCACAACAGGGGAGGCACAGGGAGGAGGGACGTTCCCCAGGGCACACCATGAGGCAGGAACAGCGAAGGAGAACTCGGCCCCATTGTTTCTCATGGTCTCTTGGGGGCCACTGTACCTGTCACCCTGGGGGCAGTGTTTTTCTGCATTACTGTGGGTCTCCCAGCATCCTTCCAAGGTTGTCTACACCATCACCCTTGGGGCATAACTGTTGTTCATTTGTTTTAAGGCTTCAGTTACCTTCTCGGTTTGACAGTGTTTACTGAGTAGTCACTCTGCCTGGCACTGTGCTACAGCTGGGGACAGGGCAGCCGCTCTGAACAGTGCATCAGAGATCCCAGCAGCAGGGCCTTAACCGAAGAGGGGTCTATTCCTCTCGCAGACGAAGGCCGCGCAGTGCCGAGGACCCTGGCCCCGGCTCTCCTGCGTGTCCAGCCTCCGCTGTGCCGTCCGGCTCAGGGTCACAGAGGAAAAGCTCTGCCACCAGCTGGGCTGGGATTGCTTGTCAGTAAACACTCCCTGAGGCAGAACATACCTACAGAAACTTGTAGGAATCATTAAGTGTATATAGTTTGAAGAGCTTTGAAAAAAAGAGAACTCATGTAACCAGCACCCAAAACAAACCAAAAGCCTCCGACAGAACAGGACTATTCGGACCTCTGCTGACCCTGTTAAGGTGAGCTGCTGGTTCTGGGGACAAGCAGAGGCAGAAAGAAGAGGGGGTTGGGTTGGAATGTGGGCTTGGATGTCACTTCCCGGCTGCGTGACAGTGACCTGTCTGAGCTGCTGTGACGACTGGGGTGGGGGGAAACCCTGGGAGAAGCTCCGTGAGTGCAGGCCTGTAAGCTCAGGTGTACTCCCAGGGCCTTGGAGCCACCTCCCAGAGCTCGTCTGACCCCGAGGACACAGGGGACAGCACTGTGGTGCTGACGGGATCCTCCGATGATCCGGTCTTCCTAGCTCCCTCCTCGCTCTGACACCCCTATGGGACCTTGAGGCAGGGACCATTGGCCTCACCTCTCCTACCCACTGCCCGATCCCCTCAGGCTGGCTAGGGTCAGCTCAGTCCACCTCAGCGGCGTACCCAGAGATGGGTTGGGTCTGGTTACTGCTCAGGTGGGGAGGGGACGGGTAAACAGTGATGGAGAGCCCAGGCTGTGACAGCAGAAACATCCACGCCAGCCTGGGGACTCGGGGAGGCTCCAGAATGAAAGTACACCTCAGCAGAGACATGGGGGCGAGCAGGTGCTGGGCGAAGAAGTGGGGAGAAGTGCTCCTGGCAAGGGGACCGGTGGTGAGCAAGGGGCCAGCAGCCAGAAGAGCACAGAGCACCTGCAACCACAGCAGACCTGACCCAGCGTGCAGGGCGGGCGGGCGGGCTGGGAGACAAGGCCATGAAGGACGGGCACAGCCACCGGGCTTGGACATGTCCCGAGAGCAGTAGGGAGCCAGGGAAGGGCTGGAAGCAGGGCGGTAGTGTGCTCAGAGCTGCCCTTCCAGCAGCGGGAAGGACAAATCAATAGGGGGTGTCTGAAGCAGGGAGGCGCTTGAAGATTCAAGCTGAGGCTGTCGCTAGCTGTCCCTGCAGCCAGGCAGGAGAGAGCATCCTGAGCGGAGAGTGCGGACGAGCAGGAGGTCCCTCTCACTGATGGCCAGCTCACTCATCTGCCCCATCCCAGGCCACTGGCACTATCCAAGCCCAAGCCCAGGGTTGAAGGCCCTCTATTGCTGGTGAACTTTACCTCTACCCACAAGCCCAGATTAAACTGCCATCTCTTCTGTGAAGCCCTCCCTGCTTGCTGCAGCATCCTGAGCACCCTCAGCAGCACCCGTCCTGTGCTGTCTCACACTGATGAGCAGTAAGAGCAGGGACGCTGGAATAGGACCACCAGAGTTCACACTCAGCTCTCTATCAACTCCCTGTGTTACCTTAGGCAAGGCTCCTAAATCTCCCTGGGCCTCAGTTGCCACATCTGTACAATGGGCGTGGTGGCAGTACAAACCTAAGAGTGTGGTGGGGGTTACATGAGTTAACATATATAAAATGCTTAGAACAGTGCCAGGCACAGCGAAAGTACTCAGTGAAGGGGGCCACTGCCAGCCATCCCTGTGGCTGTCTCCCCATGGACAGGTGAGAACCTGGAGGGTAGGAAGGAGGTCTTCATCTTTGTATCAGGCACCTGGCATGCGGTTGGGAAAAGGAAGCCAGGGCAACTCTGCCAGGTTCCAGCTTCCTGCCCCATCCTCTCCCACCTTCCTTGCCCAGGCCCTCGGGCGGGGCTGAGGGTGCTGCCAGGCCGCAGTGACCCTGCCCCCACCTCGGCTGCACTCGCCTTCTGCTTCGCTCCTCTGTCCTGGGCACTGCTGCTGCTACTGGTGTTCACCAGGCACAACCTTCTGATGACTGTCCCATGGACACGCCAGCCGACCCTGGCCCCCGGGGCCCTGGACCTCTGGTATTGGGAAGGGAAACCCAGGGTCCTGACACCCCCACCCAGCCACGTGTCAAGGATCACACACGTCTTCAGGGACATTCTAAAGCTGACTCCAAGAGAAAACATGAGAAGGTGATCCAAAGCACAGGGCAATGAGGCTGCCCCGAGCAACAGAGACTGGAGGGCGGTGCCAGCAGGGCACCCAAGCCAAGGGGTGCAGGAAAGAGAAATGAAGCTCCCGACCAGGGGAAGGCAGGTGAGCCACGAGAGCGGAGGGCCTGGCTTGAGATAAGGAGCAGGATGGGCCCCCGTGCCAGGGCCCAGCAGCAGCTTTCCGCCCAGCGGGGCAAAGTGACGTGGCAGGGGCTCGCGTGAGCGCAGTGCCTCGGATCCAGCTTACTCCACTGCTGATGGAGGGGGTGCCCACTCTGTGCCTGGCGCTGTGCTAGGCGCTGAGAATGTGGTCATCCAGACAGGTGGCCCCTGCCTCCAGGAGCTTATCACAGCCTGGAAGACTGTGCCTGGCTCACTGATCCCACAACCCGGCCCCCAGCCCAGAGGGTGACGGCAGGAGCAAAGCATGATGGGTGAGGGCTGGAGCTCTGGAGTCAGAGGGCCCGAGGCTCGGATCCTGGCTTCACCCTATCTAGCAGCATGGCGTTGGCCGAGCACGTTTCCTCAGCTGCGCAATGAACACGACAACACCTGCCTTCCCTGCCAGGCACATGGTAGGGATTCCATGGGCACCGAGGCCACAGCAGTCCTCAGGACAGGTGCAAGGAGCACAGGGTCTCAATCAGGGAAGCAAGTCACCACCCTGGGCTTACCTGGCTGAGAACAAAGAAGGTGCGGATGTTCCAGAATTGGGCCTGCTCCTGCAGGAAGGTTTTCAGGTAGATGCCCTCAAAGGTCTTGAAGCAGCCAACCAGGGTGACAAAGGTCTCGTCATCCGCATTGTCTGTGATGCTGTGCAGGATGGGCACCATGGGGGCCAGGCCGGTGCCCGCAGCCAGCATGAGAAGCTCACCGTACTGGGGAATAGGACGGGTACAGACAGGAAGGGTTGGGGGTCTCTCCACTCCAACCCTCTACGGGCCTTTTCTTGGGCTCACCTGAACAGGAGGGCACTGCTCTTCCTGGTGTTCTTCCACCCGAGTGCCCCTCCACCTCCTCCAGGAACTACCCTTGCTTGTTAAAGTCTACAGCTTGTGAGGTCTGTGTAGCAGAAATCATGGAATCTGGGAGCTGAAAGGGAACCTAAGGGCATAGCCCATTCTACAAGCGGTTTGTTTTCCTTCTAAAGCATCCTCACAGGACTCTTACATATTTCTGCTGATGGGCAGCCCACTACCTCTCATATCAGATGCTCTACTATGGACTGACGCCCCTTGCCTTCCCACCTCACACTGAGCTAAAATCTGCTCTCAGCAAAGCCTTGTCCACTGCCCCACCCCAGCTCTGCCCTCTGGGCTGCTTCCTCTGCCCCAGGGCAGCCCTGTAGAGGGCACTGGCTGGGAAACCTAAGACTGTTCTACTCTCGACTAAATAAGACACTTTACATAAGCGCCTAGCACAGCCCTGGCATGGAAGAGCCATGTAATAAAAAATTGAGTTTCCGCCCTGGCCGATTTGGCTCAGCGGTTAGAGCGTCCACCTGCGGTCAAGAGAGACCCGGGTTCAGTTCCCGCTAAGGGCATGTACCTCGGTTGCAGTTTGTCCCCGGCCCTGGTTGGTCGTGCGGGTGGCAGCCACTCGATGTGTCCCTTTCACATCAATGTTTCCATCTCTCTCTCTTCCTCTCTCTCCCTCCCACTCTGTACAAAAAAAAAAAAAATTGAGTTTCCACCCTGAGATGCCCCAGCTCCACCAGCCCTCCTTACTGAACCCGTTTCCTGGCTCCCGGCCTCGTGAAGAGGGGCAATCCTCTTTCTGGTCGGTGCCTTCAAGGTAGTGCCTGATCCATGCAGTGAGGTACTCACCTCCCTCATTCTAGAGAACACACCGGGGTTTTCACCAGCTTTACTGACAGCCACTGCACACCCCATTACTGCATGAAACGCAGCCTGGAGTACCAGGAGTCACACAGATCTGAGTATGAGTCCCTAGCCACATGATCCAGGCAAACTCTTTCACCTCTCCGAGCCTTGGTTTCTTCACTGGTAAAAAAAAAAAAAAAAAGGCACTTCCCCATAATAGCACCTATCAGAATTGTCATGAGATTCAAGGAGATGACATAAAATGCCTGGTGGAGCCCGGCGCTTAACAATTAGATCCCTTCCCCTTTCTGAGCCCCCACTGCCGGCCACACCACCGGGCCCTGTACTCCTGCCCCCAGCCTCCAGGTCCTCAGCCTGCAGTGCTCCTGCCGTGCTCCCTGCCCCCCGCCCCCCATCGCTGCTCAGGTTCTCCTCTGGGAAGCCTTCCAGGAGCCAGGGACAGGTGAGGGGTCTGTCCTTGTTTTCCCAAAGCCCTCTGTGCACCCTGCCTCACAACACTGGGCATTCTGTGCTGCTGTCATCTGTCTGTGTGTCTGTCTCCCCACCAGACCAAGAGCTTCTGGAGGACAGGGGCTTGTCTGACCCATCTCGGGCCCCCAGGGTCCAGCATGGGCCCAGCCCTGGGTGAACAGCTGGGAATGTCTGTGGAAGAACACACAGACAGATGCTAATGTATCGGTCCTCCGGCTGACTGATGTCCACCTGCAGTGAAGATAACCGCAGAGCAACCAGACAGGGCCAGGAAGAGGGCCAGTGCACCTAGCCTCCTCGGGGGCCAAGTGTCAATGTGTGAGACCCCACCTCTTCCTCCTCGCTGCTAGGCCCTGCCACCTCCCTAGACAGGAAGTACAGGGCTGTCCAGCAGCGCTCTGTGGGTGCAGAGGAGCAGCCGCAAGGCACAGGGAGGCTCCCCCCGGAAAAGGGCACCTCCAGGTTGGGAGGACACAGAGACTCCTCAGTCCCTGCTCTCAAGGGCCCAGGGGCGCAGGGACACCCTCAGTTATAGCTGAGAAAGGTTAGCACTGGCAGAACACTGTAGAAGAGTATTAATCTGTGCACAGCCCACATCTGTAAACTGAGGGTGGCAGTACCTAGGAGCTGCTGTGAGGACTAAATGAGTTACTCACAGTAAGTGCTAAAATCTGAGCCTGGCAGAGGCGCCGCATGCATGTTTGATTATTACTCGACCACATACGTGTGCACTTGCATATACACCCGTGCGTGGAGGAGGATTTAGAAGGCTATATGCCAAGGTAGTAAGAGTGATGTGTGGGCAGAAGGCCTGCAGGTGTTCTTTATTTTCTTCTTATTGCCTCTCTATATCTGCTGATTTTTTTGGTAATGAACATGTATTGCATTTGTAAAAGCAATAAAAGCTATTTTAAAATTAAACAAAAAATGGAAAGGAATGATTCATTCTTTTCCATTTGTTTTTGTTTCGCTTTGTTTTCCTAATTATAAAGGTAATAGGTGTTTGTTGTGGATAATCTGGAAAGTATAATGCAGACAATAAAAATCACCCATTATTTTATCACCCAGAGCTGCTATCATTTCATTGAATTTTCTTTTCACAGTTTTGCTGTGCATTTTATTTTATTTATTTATTTATTTTTTATCCTCACCCAAGGACATTTTTCGATATTTTGTTCAGATAGAATGGGAGGGAGAGAGAGAGAGAAACATCGATGTGAAAGGAACACATCGAGTGGTTGCCAGCCGTGCGACCCAACCAGGGCCGGGGACAAACTGCAACCAAGGTACGTGCCCTTAGCGGGAACCAAACCCGGGTCTCTCTGGACCGCAGGCCGACGCTCTAAATGCTGAGTGAAACCGGCCAGGGTTTTGCTGTGCATTTTAACTTAGTTTCCCAGCCTGTTGTCTATTCAGTTTTGTACCTGGTGTTTGTCATTTGATCTTATAACATAAACATATAATATCATTTATAAACATAAATTTTAAATCCAGGATAATTCTTTTAAGTACCTGTAACCCAGTGCACTTAACTGTTCCCCTGTTGCTGAATATTCAGTTATCTCCGATTTCTTGCTATCATAAATAAAGCTGCAATGAACATGTGCAAGAGTCGGCATTTTGGATTCTCTCCACAGCACAGACTTCCAGAAGTGGAATTACTGGGTCAGAGTCTTAAGACTATTCATATTGCCAAGCTGCTTTCCAGATATGCACCAGCTGATAAGAAATTACTAATTCTTCCTGGGACTATCGGGGAAGGCTTTGAACACAGCATGAAGATAAGGAGAAGAGCATTCCAGGCTAGGAAGCGGTAGCCTCCCAAGCAGCGAGCCATGAGACATATTTAGGGCAGTCTCTACAGTCTTGTAACAGGAATGTGAATCTGGAAAAATATCTGAGGTTGAGATGGGATAGGGTCTTAAATACCAAGTACATGAGTCTGAGTTTTCTAGGTAATGGGTAGTCATGGATAGTTCTGGAGCATGGGCAGGCAATTTTGTTTTTTAGTGCCTATTCCATCTCCTCCATGTCCAAGGACACTCTCGGGCTTGGGTTTGGGCTCGGGGAGAACGGTACAGGGGGATTCTGAAACCTGAAGCTGCAGTCCTAGAGACTAAGCACGGGGGTGGGGGGTCTCCTGAGGACTCACTGACCTGGTTTGGTTTATAGCAGAAGCCTCCGAAAGGTCCTCGCCAGAAAGCCGTGTCTCCCGCTCTCCAGGACTCCACGTATCGGGACATCAGCCCAGCCTGGTAGCACTGGGTGCAAACACAGGGAGACCATTGGGACAGGCAGGTGCTGCCATGCAAGCCACAGCAGCCATGGCCGCGGAGCCCTTTCCGCAAGTGGAGTGCTCCACGTGTGTCATCTCCTTACTCCTCCTAATCACCCACAACACTGGTGCTGTCTCTCCCAATGTTCGGAGGAGGCCCAGAAGCTTACACAGTGGGGAAATGGTGAGGCTGGAGTGAGAATCCATTGGCCCTCCAGTTTTACTACAGAGGTCTCAAACCCAGATAACTCAGGGCCCATACAGGTAACATAACAGAGTGAAGAACTGGGTATGAGATGATTAACGACAATTAACCTCAGTCTCAGTATCAGAGGGCAGCAGGGCATGGTGGGGACTGTGGTAAACTGGGGAGCGAATGCTCCTTCTGAAGGAAGAAGCTACTCAGTAGATTCCAGTACAGTTTGTGAGGTGATGATGCCAGATCTGATTTTCCATGGTAGTGAAACATCCACATTTTTATGTAAAATGTCCCATGTTTGAAATGTCAGCAATTAATTCAAAAATTTAAAACACCGTACAGGCCAAAAACAAATACATTTATGGGCAGGAGTCAGTGTGTAGACCACTCATTTGAAATCCCTGCATTACTCTACACTGTTTCCTGGCTGGATGGGGAAAAAAAAGAATGTGGAGGAGAGTCCTCCAGGGGGAGGGCAGCCTCCATTTTCTGGGGGCCTGTCCACTCTGTGCCATGCTGAGGCTGCAGGGGAGACAGCTGGACCTGAAGCTCCATGAAGGCAGCCAGTGCCTGAACCATGGAAAGGATTTAATAAATATCTGAATAAATGAATGAATGAATGAATGGGCCAATCAATCAATTAATTAATCAGATTCAGGACCTCCTTTTAAGGAGCTCACAATCCAGGAGGAACCTGCCTCAGACACACACACAGTAGAGACTACCTAATATTCCACAAGAAGAAAGTGCTGGGAGAACGGACTAAGGAGGTATAGTCACTTCCAATGGGGCTGGATCAAGGATAGCTTTCTGGAGGAGGAAGCATCTGAGCTGTACCTTGAAGACTGGGTAAGATCGAATTCACTGGGAATGGCAGGAAGAGGGCAGAGAGGATTGTGGGCATCAGCTATGGGATGGTCAGGGGTAGGACAGCCCAGGTCATGTGCTAAGAACAGCAAGTGGACACAGTAAGGTGGGGAAGAGAGGGAAGCGCCAGATGACAGGACTAGAAGGGAGTTTGATATGAGATTATAACCAGACTGGGCTTTGGTCACCAGACATGCATTTAAGCACCCATGGCCTCTCTAGTACCATCCCTGACGTCCCTGGACACCACATGCATGAAGCAAGGTAAGCCCTGGGCGCACCTGGAGGAGGTCTGGGAGGGAGGCTGTCTCAGAGCACACCTTGTGTTCTGGCCCCAGCCTCGGGGGAGACATAGCCCACACGGAGCCCGGCTCAATACACATTAGTTAATCAGGACTGACACTGAACTTTTGTTCTTCCACTTGGAATTACATTACTCAAGGGGCCGTGGGACAATGTCATCAACTCTTTCAGCATCAGCTTCTTCGTCTGTAAAATGGGGATAATAAGATCTACCCTGTAGGGTGGTTATGAGGTTGAAATGAAATAATGAAAATAAAGAGCCAGAAGCTTTGCCTGGTGCCCAGAAGGTACCTGAGAAATGGGAGTTCCTCCTTCCCGTTTACCAGGGAGGGAACGCCTAAAAAATCCATCTGCCTTCTCAATTTGCAAAGACATTTCCAGCTCTTCCCAGCCAGCGGCTTAGGGATAATTAAGCATCCCTCTAAGAGAGGCTTTCCAGTACCAAAGGAGAAAATCAGCCTTGCAGCTGGGAGAAAACAGTCTCCAGGCTTATCCTCTCAACAGAAACACACCCAGACAAGCAGCCTGGGGAAGCAGGCCATTTGGAGGGGATTTGTGGAATCTCCCAGACAAACAGTTGTGCGGAGAAGGGATTCAATCCAAGCTTTTGTGTGAGGGAGTAAACACTCGGGCTCTGAAGGCAGGCAGGGAAGGCTGGAGCCAGAGACAGTGCTGGGGTCTCGGAGGCAGGAGGCCAGGGCTCACCACCAGCCACACTCCTTACTAGCCGTGGAGCTTCAGGTTCTCCAGCGGCCTCAGTTTGTTTATCAGTGAAATGGGGATAATATTTCCTACCCTACTACAGAGGTAAAAGGATGTGAAAACTATTCTTAAACACTGGTTCCCTAGGACTCCATTTGGGAAGTGATGATATTGAGATATATATTAGGTTGACCAATACGAATCTGCCATTTCTTTGGGTCAAAAATATCAGCATATCAGCAATTTCACATAGTTCCACCTGACTATTTTTTCCACGTAATTGGACCTTCATGACTTCTCATATATGTGGTGCCTATTCTTCGGGCCTCCAGGGTATTATTTTGCATCTGCCCACTTTGTTCACCTCATCTCTGCCAACTCCCTCACCACCCTGGCTGCCTCACCAGCACCGTTCTTCCTGCCATTCAGCCTGGGAATAGTTCCCACAAGACCGTGTTCTTTGGTTATCCGTCCCCTGGGCCTGGATGCCATTCCCTGCCACTGCCAATTTCTCCTTCTCTTTTAAGACCCAACTCAAATGCCACAGCCTCTGCCCACCTTCCCGAGCGGTGATCTCAGTGAGTTTGGTCCACAGGGGCTCCACATCCCACCTTTCCCTTCTGCATGCCCCCTTCTGATCCGGGGCCAACGACAGACAGGACAGTTCCCCCACTGGGCCTCCTTTGCATTGCACATGCTGTTCCCAGCACTCAGATCTTCCTCCCACATGTTCTTTACTTAACACTCGGCTCAACACACATCTTCTGCAAGGCCAGCCTGCTGTCCCACAGCTCCAGCTCCCCGGAGTCGGACGGTGTCTATCACACTGTACTGCTCCGGGCTGCTCCCATGTCTAAGGACAGGCACCATGCCGATGCATCTGGACACCCGTGTCCAGCACACAATAGGTACTCGGCAGCTTGGGTCCCTCTTCCCCAAGGCTCAGTGCTCACTCTCCATCAACAGGCAAGAAAATGAGATGGATCAGCTTTAACATTCTCAGTCTGAACCTCCTTTTCATAGAATCTGTCAGGAATAAACCCTCTGTTGGCGGTCGAGCAGCCCGCCTATACCAGGAAAGGGGATGGGAGAAGGCCTTCTCCACTCTCTCCACCCTCCCCTCTAGCTAGCCTCCTTCCGTGAGCACTGGCTTCCCCACATTAGGGAACTTGCCCTATGCCAACCAAGCCAGCCAAGGGGGCTCCAGTTCACAGCATCTGAGAGCGTCGTGGGAGTCAGCTCACCTTGATTAGAACTTCAAAGTATCCTTCTGCACCAGCAGGGCTGATGGGCGTGTAGGCTCTCTGAATTTCTAAGCCATCTACCATCCCTCTGGGAAAGAGAAGCACTCAGTCAGGCAGGCAGGCAGGCAGCAAACCCGCACGGGCATCCACTCTGCCAGGCTGGTGAAGGGAAGGCGGGCCTGGTCATCCCCAGTGGTCCTCACTGAGGGGCAAGCAAGGTGGAGCGGGACAAAAGAGTGCTGGGTCCCCCACCGCCACGAGCTGGCTGCGAGTCCCCGGGCAGGCCACTGGGCCTTAGCGGCCCCTTCTATAAAGTGGGGCCAACCACCTTTGTCCCTGTGGTGTAGCTCCACTGCGATGACACATGGGGAAGTGATCTGAGCTGTTTTTAGGACATCACTGGTTTTTTCCTGACCTCTTCTCGACCATAGAATGATAAAGATAAAAACAACTGTTTGTAACAAGTTATTTATCTATTTATTTTTTATTGGTTTTTAATTTTTTTATCCTCACCTGAGGACATTTTTGCTTGTATTTTCAGATAGAGGGGGAAGAGAGAGAGAGAAACATTGATGTGAGAGAGGCACATCAACTGGTTGCCACCCACACGACCCCAACCAGGGCCAGGAACAAACTATGACTGAGGTACATGCCTTTAGTGGGAACCAAACCCGGGACTCTCTGATCTGCAGGCTGATGCTCTAACTGCTGAGCCAAACCGGCCAGGGCTTATTGGTTTTTAGAGAGAAAGAAAGGGAGGGATAAAAACATCAATGAGAGAGAAACATCAATTGGCTGCCTCCTGCACACCCCCTACTGGGGATCAAGACCGCAACCCAGGCATGTGCCCTGACTGGGAATCAAACCAAGACCTCTCAGTCCCTGGGACAACGCTCAATCCACTGAGCCACACCGCAGGGCACAAGTTGTTTATTAAACACTTACAACCATGTGCCAAAATCATCAGAATTGGAAGGCTCCTCAAAGGTGCCCTAGTCCAAAGCCCGACCCCAGGCGTAAATTCTCTCCACAATGTTGACAACAAGGGGGCAGGATGATCACCATGATAACAGCAGCCTTGTCATCTTACATGCCTTCTGTACACCAAGCTTATTACATGCATTATCTTATTTAATTCACATAACCCAAACGAACCACCCACGGCTTAGAGAAGGAAAGCCACGCGCTCAAGCCCATGCAGCTAGAATCCACTTGCAGCTTGACTGCAGAGCTGAGTTCCTCACCATACTCCGCAGAGCTCCCGGGAGCACCACACACTCCTCTCTCTAGTCCCACAATGTATGCAAAGATTTTTTTTTTAATCCTCACCTGAGGATTTTTTTGTACTTATCTTCAGATAGAGTGGTGGTGGGTGGGGGTGGGGGTGGTGGAGACATTTACGAGAGACAGACACATCGACTGGTTGCCTCCTGCATGACCCCAGCCAGGGCTGAGGATGAACTGCAACCAAGGTACATGCCCTTGACCGGAATCAAACCTGTGACTCAAACTGGCCAGGGCTGCAAAGATTTTTTAAAAAGACCTTGTCCTGACCTGGCCGGTGTTGCTCAGTAGTTATAGTGTTGGCCCATGCACCAAAGGACAGAGGGTTCTATTCCTAGTCAAGGGCATGTACCTGGGTTGCAGGTTCGATCCTTAGCTCTGGTGGGGGCATGTGTGGGAGGCAATCAATGGATGTGTCTCTCTCACATCAATGTCTCTCTCTCTCTCTCTCTCTCACTCTCTCTCTCTCTCTCTCTTCCCTTCTTCTCTTTCACTCTCTCTGAAAATCAATGAAAAAAATATTGAGTGAGGATTTTAAAAAAAGGCCCTGTCCTAATGCACCAAAAGCAGAGGAGCTAAACAGAAATATTCAATACATGCTGTGGAACAAATGAAATAACAAACAGAACACACGACGTGGCTTGGATGCAAACAGCACAGTGACATTCGCTACAAGAGGTAAAACTGGCACGCTGTGGAGGGAGCAGCCATGCTCACTAGGGGCACAGGAACCTCAGGGGGCCTCCTGGAGCTGGGGCTTAAAGGATGAGCAGGCCACCGACAGGTGAGAACAGAGACAGGAGGGGAAGTAATTCCAGGCAGGGGAATAGCCTGGGCCAGAGCTTAGAGGCAGGATAATGTAGGGCAGGAACTGGTGAGTGAATCATGAGGCTGGAACAAGGAACAGATATGCAGCAGGGGGAGGAAGGACTTGGTGGGAAAGGAAGCTGGGAGCCTGGGTTAGGATGTCATTGTGGAGGCATCGTGGAGCACAGAACACGTTGGAACAGGGAGTGACGTGGTCAGCCACATGTTTTAGGAATGTCACTGGAGTGGCAGAGAGGGTGGAGGAGAGGGAGAGAGTTCCTCATTTATGGGTGGTTGGTTGCATGGGGCTGTGACCTGCCCTCTGGCCCTTCCCATCCACTGGAATGGTGAGTTTTAAGGACCACCAGCCAGGCCACAGGCCAGGATGAGCTGGGCATAAACACCAAGGGTCAGTGCAAGGCCAGAGTGGGACCAGTAACATGCTCTCTCCTGGGTTTCCTCATCTTCTGGCTGCACCTTCTGCCTCCTTTGCTGGCTCCTTCTTCTTGGATATGATAATGGTACTTAGCACTCAGAATTTTGTGAGAATTAAATGAGTTCATATGTATAAGCACACAGAACTGTTCCTTGGATAATATGTGCTATAAAAGTGTTAGCTATTATTATTATTATTTATTATGAAAATGCATTCTCTAATTCAATCCCAAGAACCCTCTGAGTCACGTGTTACTAGGCCTAATTTGAAGAGGACTGGGCGTTAAGCAGCTTCCCTAGGCCACACAGCTAACAAATGGCAAAGCAGGGCTGCAGCGCTTTGACCCTCCCATGACCTGAGTGTACCGTAGGATGAGGTGCTGGCCAGGCCACAGGCCGAGCTGGCCGTTCCCGGGTAGTGTGAACCGGACATGGTAGGTGTCCTTAGTGAGTTTGTCTATGGCACTGATGCGGAAGGCCAGGAACGTCTCTGGGCTCAGCTTGGAGGGGCAGCTCTGCAACAGAAAAATATCCAACAGTTAGAAGCTGGGGCTCAAGAGACAGGCAAGCATCCACAAGCATCCTTCCCACTTTCCCCAAGGAGAGGCTGTCCCGGCTGGTAAATGCTCTGTTGTAACAGAGAGCAGCCCCACCTTACTTCCCTTTCGTGCTCTAATCGAAGAATGCCAGAGCACTTTACACTGAGCTCACCCTGCTCTTAAGCCTTCTGTGGCCCCTCCATCCCAGGATAAAGTGCAGGCTTCTTAGCTGGATACTCAAGGGCCCTATGGATGACCCTCAGGCCTCATTGTACCTCCCAGGCTCCAGACGCCAGACCTCTTCCATCCTCCCAAGAACACCCTGCTGCCCCTGCTGCCTCCTACCTATGAGCCTTTACTGGGCCCTCCATCCACCTTTCAAACCTGCTAAAATCCATATTTGCACAATTGAGAAACTGATGAGTCCTTAAAGATTATCTAATTTAATATCCTTATTTTACATGTGGGAAAACTGAGACCTGGGTGGTAGTAACTTACTTGTCCAAGGTCACACCATGAGCAGGGACTCAAATTCATGTCTTCTGAATCTCAGCCCACTGACCTTAACATTCCACCCCACTTGCACCTCCTCCAGGAAGTCTTCTCTGAATGCCATAACTCATAGATCTCTCTCCTGTAAAATGTCTACACTCCATTGCCCTGGCCAGTTTGGCTCAGAGGTTGGAGCGTCGGCCCGCAGACCAGAGACGCCCAGGTTCGGTTCCCGCTAAGAGCACGTACCTCGGTTGCAGTTTGTCCCCGACCCTGGTTGGGGTCGTGTGGGTGGTAGCCACTCGATGTGTCTCTCTCACATCGATGTTTCTCTCTCTCTTCCTCTCTCCTCTCTCCCTCAAGATAAATGCAAAAAATGTCCTCAGGTGAGGGTAAAAAAAAAGTCTACACCCCATTCACTCCTGGAACCATCCCCCCATACCCAGCTCAGGGCCAGGCTTTGAACCTGGATCTGCTACTAAGTGCACTCTTTTTTCTCTGCTGTAGAATCAGAGAAAGCCTCCATGAGCAGGTACACTGCGAAGGGCTGAGGCCAGATAAATGCTGCCAGCCTGGCCCTCTGGTCTGAGGAGTCCCTTACCTGTGACGCCTTCCCTCTCAGCAGGCTTCTGTCCTTACTGGCTCGGGCTGCCTCCCACCTCGCCAGGTCTCGGGTATAGAGGTCGAACACACAGGGTGAGCAGCCACTGCCGCAGCACTGGGAGGGCAAGGGCTCCACTGGCCGAAGCTGCAGCCAGGCTTCGTCGTCATCCTCCTCTCTCTCATCCATCAGCAGAGGGCTTGGCAGCCTGGAGGGACAACGGGTGCTCTGCCCAGGGCAGGCCTGGCTCTGGGACAGTCACGGCCCAGGCCCCATTCCTGGCCAGTCCAGGTGGGAAAGCGTGGTTACACTGGTCACCTCGAATCCTCCTGAGGTTTGCAGGTGCCATGCTGTGAGCACTGAGGACAGGGATGAATCACCCCGGGGGCTGGGGCCTGGCAGGGGAGGCAGGCACACAGGACATACAAATCAGAACTAGCAACCCAGGTTTCCTGACCGTTTTCTGTGCTCTGAGCGCTGGATTAAGCACTTCACATAGAAAATCTGGTTGAATTTTTAAAATATTTTAAATGAAATAAAACATGTATGTATAATCTAATAATTATAAAAAATACATTTAAATGTTATCAAAGAACACCTTTGTATCTACCACTCAGTCAAGTGAATAGAACCTTGTCAGCTTCCCAGAAGCCACTATTCAAGTCCCTCCTGATCACAGCCCCCACGCCTGTAACCACCATCCTGACTGTCAGTGCAATCACTCCCTGGCTTTCCTTGGCGCTGTCTCCTTTGTTTGCAACCCCAACCGCGACACTTCAGCTCTGCCCAGTTTTAACCCTCACAAATCACTTGAGTGACTTTTTTACCTGTATAGAACCATATGAATGCATTCCTCTGCGTCTGCCTTCTTTTACTCAGCACTGTTGGTGAATCACCCATCACACTGCTACATCTCATTTAACCTTTACAACAAGGCTGATACTAGAGGTGTCATTTTACAGATGGGAACTCTGGGGTCTGGAGAGGTTTAGTAACCTACCCAAGGCCACATAGGTCCTAAAATGGTGGCACTGGAATTTTAACTCTGGTCTGTCTGGTTTCAGAATATATTGTTCCTCAACCACAAGAAAACAGAAGGAGGAGGCTGTGGTGGTCCAGGCGAGAGGTGACCAGGACCTGGACCAGGGAAACTTCAGAAAGAATGACAGGACGGGGGTCAACTAGAGAAACACTGGAGGGAACTAATAGGACATAGAGACTGACTAGATGTGAGGTGAGGGAGTAAGGGGGATAGAGAGGTGTCTGGCTTGGATCCCTAGGTGGACAGTGGGCTCAAGAGAAGATGAGTTTTAGGGAAAAGGGAGTGGGGGGGTGACAAGTTCATTTTGAGGTATGCTGGGTGCTCGTGGTGCACCCAAGAGCAAAATCCAGCGCTTAGCTGGATGAAACAGGTCTGGGTACACGAGTATGGAGACAGAGGTCCTCACACCGAGGGAGGGATGAGTGGGCAGAGGAAGAGAACAGAGGGCTGAGAGCTTCTGCGAGGGCCTGCCTGGCGTCACTCCCTCCTGCAAGCACTCCCCGCACTTGGTCCAGCCCTGGTCGTCATGGGTGCCCAGTAAGTATTCTTCAAATGAATGAATCTCTAGCTTACAGCATTTCACACTGTCCCAAAATGACATGTCTACATGTCTTCCTCCTTTTTGAGAGTGTGGAACTACTTGAGGGCAGAGACTTAATTTTTATTCATTTTGTGAAACAGTACAGGGTATATTTTTAAATATGTGGAAGAAAGGGAGGGAGGGAGGGACGGAGGGAGAGGAAGGAAGGAAGGAAGGAAGAAAGGAAGGAAGGAAGGAGCTCAGTTTCAGGACTGTTAGGAAAACATAGTCTGAAAGACAGTTCAGAAAGAAAAAATTATATGGCTATGATTTAAGAGATGTTTCTTTGAAAGAAATTTGGAATTTATCAAGGTTATCTGTATTTATATGTAGAACTCCATAGTTTATATAGAAATAGACCTGATTATCTGACCTATGAGCAAACTATTTATTTAAAATTCCACAGGTAGCCTGGCCGGTGTGGCTCAGAGGATTGAGCATCATCCCATGGACTGAGAGGTAAGATGCCCAGTCAGGCACATGCCCGGGTTGTGGACTCGATCCCTAGTAAGGGGCCTGCAGGAGGCAGCCAATCGATGTTTCTCTCTCATCAGTTTCTATCTCTCTCTCCCCCCAAAATTAATAGAAACATATTTAAAAAAATAAATAGCCCAGCCAGTGTGGTTCAGTGGTTGAGTGTCAACCCATGCACCAAGAGGTCGCCAGTTCGATTCCCGGTCAGGGCACATGCCCAGGTTTTGGGGAGCATGTAGAAGGTGGCCAGTGGATGTTCTCTCTCATCAGTGTGACTATCTCTCTCTCCCTTTCCCTTCCTCTCTCTTTAAAAATCAATAAAGAAAAAAAAATTTTTTTAATAAAAATAAATAAATAAATATAATTCCACAGGTGAATCAAAGTAAAAGAAGGTATTCTCTCCCTCTTGCCCGAGAATAGAACCAAGGGTAAGCCTCATGTCACAGAACATTATTTAATGTAAATATCATTCCTTTAAAATGCAACTACCTCTAAGAGCTCCAGCCTTTGATTTCCTCTCATTCATTCCTGCCATAGACACTTACTAATAGCAGCTGCTGAAGAGATGCTGGGATGCAGAAGTGAGTGACACCTGTCTCTGCTCTGGAGGAGCTCCTGGCCTAGTGGGAGTCATCGACTAAACAGATACAACCGTTTTAAGAATAGATACCCCTAAATGAGTCAGAATCTATACCAAGCACGGCATGTTCTTCCTCCTTCCATAGAAAAGAAAACTGAGATCCAGGTCAGGAAGCCAGAGGTGGTGAGGCTGGTGTTCTTTCTCACTAGACTTCATGCTTCTGGAGGGCAGAGGGATGGTGTCTTCATCTCTAATTCCCAGGGTCTGGCCACTGGGCTGGCATAGAACAGGGGTCCAGCTTGCCAAACTGTCACTGAATTTTATGGGCACCCTGGAGCCTCTCAATGGCATTAATGGCACTAATGGCACTAATTCCATTTGTGCATAAAGTACTAGGATCAAAGTGTGGGCCAAGTCTATAGAAGAGCAGAGAGCTAAACCATTAAGTTGGCCAGAGGACCTGGAAGTCCTATTTCTTGGTTACCAATAATAACCCAGGAATCTTTTTTTCATTATTGATTTTGAGAGAGAGAGAAAGAGAGAGAGAGATCAATTTGTTGTGCCACCAATTTAGGCATTCATTGGTTGATTCTCCTATGTGCCCTGACCAGGGATCAAAACTGTAACCTTGGCGTATTCAGGATGACACTCTTATCAACAGAGGTACTGTTGGGAAGGTCAGAGACTTCCCAAGGAATCTTAGTCATTAAAATCTTTTCTACTTTTCCTGCTTCCCATGTCCATTTACACTGGAGCTTCCCACAGGCCCAAAGGATGTGCTACTTCTAGTCTCTCTACACCATCCATCAGTGCACCTGCCACCAGCTCTGATCACACTATTCCCTTGCTTAGCAACTTCTAACAGCTCCCCATTGCCTACTGGACTGAATCCAATCTTCTTGCCTGATGCCCAAGGCTCTTCCTGATCAGAGCTTGTCCAAATTTTCTTATCACTCACTATCATTGGTTTTAAAAGGGCAGTTCCCCTGTGTGCAATAAATTTATCTCTTATAGAGGAAAGGGGTTGGCTTTGGAAAACCTGGTTCCACTGCTAGTTCTATGATTTCAGGGAGACAGTAGGCTGGGACCCCCTTGAGGGTAAGGGTGGTGTCTTATTCTTTTTGTATTCTACCACCAAGCACAGGCCTGGTATTTGGAAGTCTCCGGTGAGTGGTAACTCGCTCATTCAGTTTGCAAACAAGGTCTGGGAGCCAGGCACAGTGCTAGGTGCTGGGATACAGCAGATGTAAATAGGATATGGGCTCCACCTTCATAGAGCTTGCAGCCTAGCATGGTGTTACATCAATTTGACCCATTTTTATTGCATGTTGTGTGCCAGGCATGTGTATGAGGGAATGAGGTCTAGTCCCCTCTTTCTGCTGATTTCTTACTCTGCAATTTTTGCAAGATAAAGTGAGATAAGTGAAAGAACTCCATTAACTGTAGGCAGCTATACATTGTGAGGGTTATTCCTATCAGTTTTTGCCTTACATTTGCCTTTTCCATATTTTAATAATCTCACTTTCTTTGGTATTTTTGAAATTGGTAGAAAGTTAGCCATGTCAGTCATGAATTTTAAAGACTTGGTTCATGCCTCAGTCTCTACCTTTTCAGTCTAAGAGGTGTACCACCTTTAAGCCATGCCTTCTCATGTTGTTGCCTCTGCCTGGATGACTCTCCTCACCTTGCTTAACTGTCACCTCCCCTCAGAGGCCCTCCCTGAACCTCCCCTTTCTCATTCTCTATCATGTACACTATTTGTTTATATTAGTATTCATTAATTAAACATGAATTTTCTGTGTGTTGGGCACTGTTCTAGGGGCGGGATATATTAGCGAAGAAACAGAAACCCATGCACTCATGGAGCCACATTCTAGTGGGAGATAATCATTAAATAAGATCAAAATGGAAACATACAGTACGTTTGCGTTAAATGCTAAAGAGGAGAAAAACTGGGGAAAGGGATAAGTGTGTGTGCTCCAACTGCTTATTTGTTCACTTTACTTGCTGTTTGTTTCTCCCACTAAACTGTAAGCTCTACATCGCACATCTATTTTATTCACGAACGCAAACACGAGGCTCAGCACAGTGGGCACTTGATACATAGGTGTTGCTCGATGAGCGAAGGAGCGCCTCCATCGCCCTGGCCTTGCTCACGGAGGCGGACTGGGAAATCCCGAGGACGAGGGAGGAGAGTAACCACTCTCCGCGCTGGGGACCAGGCGTGCAGTACGAGCCGTGGCGCTGGTGTGGAGGGCAGGGCCACTCTCGGGCTTACGAGATGAACGCGGTAAAAGTGCCCGCAGCTGAGAGAAGTTGGAGAAGAGAAAAGGAAACTGACAGCGAACCCACTAAGTGCCGTGCGCTGTACGGGTGCACTAGCTTTGGCGTTTTTATCCGTTTTTACAGCAAGGGACACTAGGGCTCAGAGGAAAGTGCCTTGCCCAAGCTCCAACTGCTCGTTAGCGGTCCAGAGTCCTCTGAGTTCAGGTTTGAAGTCCACCTGTTCTCCTAGGCCCCCAAGCCCTAACCAGGACCACTCACCTACACTCCTGCGCTGCCTTTCACAGGAGGATCCTTCAGGTTCCCTCCCTCTCCCCAGTCCCACCTATGAGAAAATAAGAACGGCCTGCGAGGTGGAGACAAGACAAGGGTGCCCTGACTTTGATTGGTTCGAGTGGCTGCCAATCACAAAACGAGCTTTGGCGCCCAGCCCCTTTCGTTCCCAGCAGGCCTTGCACACGGGAAGATGGCGGCGTCCAGGTGGAGGTCTTGAGGAGACCAAATCGATATGGCATTGGCATCGGGGCCCGCGAGGCGGGCGCTGGCTCGCCCCGGACGTGTCGGCCTTGGGGGCTGTGGGACCCCGAGACGGGAGGCGTACGAGTGGGGTGTCCGCTCCACGCGGAAGCCCGAGCCTCCTCCCCTGGACAGGGTGTACGAAATCCCTGGACTGGAGCCCATCACCTACGCGGGGAAGATGCACTTCATGCCCGGGCTGGCGCGGCCGGTCTTCCCGCCCTGGGATCGCGGCTGGACGCATCCAAAGTTCCGCCGGATGCCCCCGATTCACGAGCATCCGCTATACAAGGACCAGGTCTGCCACACCTTCCACCAGCGCTGCCGCCTCCTCGAGGGTGAGGCCCCAGGACGGGCGGGAGGAGACCTTGTTCCTCTCCCCAGCACCGACCCGGCCCTCTCTGGCATTGGGCAAGACATTGAAACTCTGAGGGGCTCGGTTTCTTCGTCTGCGAAATTGGGCCAGTAGTGATTCCTGTTTTCTGAGAGTTGTTTGGATTAAGTGGGTTGTAAAGAGCTGTCTCCCCTAAAGCTCACGATCCCTTCATTACCCCAGTCTGCTTCTCTAGCTGTCTCTTGCAGAGTTTTACTATAGACTGCATTTTCAAGTTTAAGGAACAACAGCACTGTCAGGACTAAAAGTCAGGTTACCCAACTCCCACTCTGGAGTTTTTTGTTTTATTTATTTATTTGTCTAATTTTTTTTTTTATCCTCACCCGAGGACATTTTTCCTTTTTTTGTTCAGGTAGAGTGGGAGGGAGAGAGAGGAACAGAGAGAGAGAGAAACATCGATGTGAAAGGAACACATCGAGTGGCCGCCACCCGCACAACCGACCAGGGCTGGGGACAAACTGCAACCGAGTTACGCGCCCCTAGCGGGAACCGAACCCGGGTCTCCCAGGACCGCAGGCCGACGCTCCAACCGCTGAGCCAAACCGGCCAGGGCTAAATATTTTTTTTAAATGTTTTTTCTTTATTGATTTTTTAGAGAGAGAGGAAGGGAGAGGGAGAGAGAGATAGGAACATCGATGAGAGAGAACATGGATTGGCCACCTCCTGCACACCCCCGCTGGGGACCCGGCCCACAACCTGGGCATGTGTCCTGACCGGGAATCAATCGAACCAGCGACCTCTTGGTGCATGGGTGGTTGATCAACCATTGAGCCACACTGGCCAAACCCACTCTGGAGTTTTTTATGGTCCACCACAAAATTCAGAAGTTCCATTTCTAAATGTTTGTATTTCTGATGTCTTATGAGCCTTAAAATGAAAAGTCTCATTGCTCTCATTGCCTTTCATTTATTACTACAAAAGAAATTAACTGAGGGTGTCTCCCCCAAAGTGTCTAGGCTCCCTTTAATCCCAGACATATCTTTTCAAGTGAAGATGTGGCCCTGAATCAGAGTGGTGTTTTTGCAGCTGGGATGAATAGCCTGCCAACCAACATGGTACCCAGCCTTCTGTCAACTTGTGGACACAGTCATTGACAATAACAGTGTTAACTTTGATCTGAGGGTAGAGGACTGGTATGTGGACTTAATGCAGAACTTGGGTCCCTAGATGTGTGCCTGTTCCTCCCTTAGAAAGCCAGATCTGAGGAAAGTAAGGGAGTTTGCCTGGTACCTCAGCCCATCCTGCTGAGAGCAGCTGATGTTCCTTAATGCTTGAAGACTAAGTAATCTGAATCAAATCTATTTGTTTATTTATACTTCATCTTTTTCTGAAAAGTATTTTGAGCATCTTAGAGAAATTTTACAAAACAGCCAGATTAAAATGAAAATAGATGGGTGAGACCAGCCGGTGTGGTTCAGTGGATTGAGCGTCGTCCCATGGACTGAGGTCCTGGTTTGATTCTGTGTCAGGGCATGTGCCTGGGTTGCGGACTCGATCCCTGGCAGTGGGTTGGGTGCAGAAGATAGTCGATTGATGTTTCTCTCTCATTGATGTTTCTATCTCTCTCTCCCTTCCTCTCTCTGACAAATCAATAAAAACATATTTTTAAAAAAATAGATAAGGTAATGCAGTCAGCATAAAGGAAAGATTAAACAGTGAGGTGAGTACACAAAAGTCATTCTGTGAGGTTCTACTTACTAATGGGGAACCCCAAACTTGGCTCTCAGCTTACTAGCAATCAACATATGGTACAGAGACCAGAGCAGCTGACTAGGCCAGTGGCCTGTTTGTGTAAATAGTTTTTTTATTAGAACATAGCCATGCCCACTTGTCTACTTTTTGCCTATGGCTGATGTGGTGCTATAGTGGCAGAGATGATTCTGTGACAGAGTCTGTATGGCCCAGAAACTGAAAATATTTACTGTCTGGCCTTTTAAAAAATTAGTTTGTTGACCCTTGGAATAGGGGAAAACATTTTCAGTTATGCAATTCACCATGTTCATAAGACAAAATAATACTATACCCAGGAAAAGCCCAGACTTCCTGTACTAAAGCCAGGGAGAAGTTTAGAAGGTCTCAGGGAGACAAACACAGTATGTTTCAGAGGGCTTCTTCCTACAAAAATCTGCCTGTAAAGTAGCTCATTATAGCATCTCAGGGTTAAATAAGATACGAAATATTATCTCAGTGCTCCAAAACTCAGGGCTTCTCATGATTTAAAAGTTATTTTCATTATTTCCAAAAGCTGCTTTCCTTTAATAAAGCAGCAAGGGCTTAATCCTAATAAATGAGGTACTTTTGGTAGATAGGGCTTTTCCAGTCAGGGACTGGGTATGGGTTAATAGAAGAGATACAGGTTTTGAAAGGTTTGCATTCATTGATCTAATCCTATAGTCTGTGATCTTAGCCACTGTTTTAATTCTTCCAGTACTAGCCACTCACTATCTCAATTGTTCACCATCCTTCAGTAGACATTCATTCCTGAAGTTGAGTTGGAATCTGGCTGTTCTAGCTTCTGCTCCTTATTTTTAGTTCTGACCCCTCAGATGGCGTTCTTTCTCTCTCTCCAGCCTTTTCCAAAGATGCTACCAGGCAGGTTTAAATATCTCATTCTGAATTGTCTTTCTTTGTGTGTGTGTGTGTGTGTGTGACTAATTACCCCAAAGGTGTGAAGCAGGCCCTCTGGCTTACCAAGGCCAAGTTAATAGAAGGCCTTCCCGAGAAAGTGCTTAGCCTTCTTGATGACCCAAGGAACCACATAGAGAACCAAGATGAACGTGTTCGGAATGTGATCTATGATGCCCGTCTCTGGCACTCCACTGAAGACATCCCCAAGAGACAGACCTATTGGTAAGTTTCCCCCAAGTCAGTAAAAGTTCCAGTTGATGGATTTTGGAGTCAACATGTTTTATGTCTACAAATGTTTCTTCTTTTTTCCAAGCCCAGTCATTGTGAACAGTCTGATACAGCTGTGTAGATCCCAGATTTTAAAGCATCCTTCTCTGGCCAAGCGGATCTGTGCTGAAAGCTATAGGTTATCTACCACCTGGAACCGAGGTTGGTCATCTCATATACCAGAAAACCTTAGTCTGTTTTTTATCTTTCTACTCTTAGCCCTACCACCCGCTCACATTTCCAGCTCCCCACACTCCCATATGTATCCTCACTTCCACCCTTCACAGTCCAATTTTATAGGCCTAGGCACATCCTCAATATCATTAGCCACAGCTCAGCGTTTTTTGTTTTTAATCACTTCTTTCCAAGACTATTAATTCAACCATATCTATTGAGTGCCTGCAAGTGCCTAAATTTTGACAATATAAGGAAATAATAAAGCACACACAGTATCTGCCCTCACAACACTTATTGAATGCAAGGGCCCTTTTACCCCATGCATGCTTTTCTCCTTTTCCCAGTCCATTCTCCACATAGCTGCTAGAGTGATCTTTCCAAAGTACGTGTCTTCTTATGTCCCTCTTGTTTCAAATCCTTCACTGTCTCCCAGTAACTTAAACCGTTTATCATGGTCCCAAGGCCCTCTGTGATTTGGCCACCATCTAGTCTTTCTAGTCTTGTCTTCTGCTCTACTGCCCTCCCCCCCATACCCAAAGTTACACTTTGGCCACTTGCAGCTTTTTGGCATCAAGCTTTTACACCTTTGCACATGTTATGCATTCCAGCTGGAAAGCTCTTTTTTTACTTTCCACATTTGACTAAACTCTTACTGCAAGACTCAACTCAAGCCCCTTCCTATGTGAATCCACAAATTGGCTCTTCCTCCTCTGTGCTCCTTATGCCCAGTATGCATATTTTTATCATAGCACATATTATACTATGTTGTAATTATCTAATATCTTTTCTGTCTGCTCTACTAAACTGTGAACTTCTGGCCACAGTGTCTGACAGTTTGTGGTACATAATAGGTGCTGACTAAAAGGACAGGTGAATGAATACCAAATTTCAGGTGTTCCAGACAGAGATGTTTAGAGTACACAGGTGTTCTGATGAGTGGAAACTTGAAGCAGGGAGACCAGCTTTGGAATAATTTGGGATTTTCAGCACATCTGCTTGGTCAAGTTTTTCCATCTGGCCCCTTTGAGTATGGACTTCTTGGCAAGGAGTCAACTTTGCAGAGGTAATGGTATCACTAAGGAAATTAGTGAACCTCATTAATAGAGGAGTACTTGTTGGCCCATCAAGTATTACCTCTAATGAAACTGCCCCATTTTGAGCTGTCACTGGAGGAGGGATGTGGAGGGAATTGAATGGAAACCATACTAGAGTGGCCTGTGGGGAGAATCTAAAACCCAGGTTAGGAGTGGTCCAGGCACATTTATCTTCCTTGCAGATAATATCTGAGGAAATAGGAAATACTTCAGAAAACTCTTCTTGAGGTATGGGTTTGATTTATTTTAACAAACAGATGAGAGTTTATCTGTCCACAGATGTAGTATTCTTTTTTTACATACATGCTAATTAAATGGCAATTTTTAATGGCCACACCATACATAAGCACACTGTTCTTGATCCATTACTATTGCACAGTTCTCTGACTATTTTTAAAAACCATGCACCGTTAGAGGAAGAACTCTTGCCTGCATGGAGAAGTCTCAGGAGGCCATTCTCAAGGAGCTGGTGGTGGCATGTGGCCACCTGGGGGGAACTCTGTAAGAGCACTCACATTCAGATTGGCAGGCTTGTTGATTGGTCAGATATGAGTTTTTACCTCATACACCTATATCTCCTTGTAGCAAATATGCTAATCCGATTTAAATGAGGCTTTCTGACTCACCCAGTTTTTTTCACGCTCAGTTGTTGAGGACAGTCTAGCCTTTTTCCTGGGTTTAATAGCCTTTCTCCTGAGCCCCCAGTCCCGGTACTCTCTCCCTTCCACCATACCACACTTGAGTCATCTGGATTTATTCCTCTAAACTCTGCCATGGAATAGCACACTTCTGTGCCTTTGCACATGTTACTTCTTCTTAACCAGAATGCTTTTCTCCCCTTTCTTTGCCTGGCAAACTCTTACCCAGTGGTTTTCATCCAAGGGTGGTGTGGCCCTCTGGGGGAGATTTGCCAATGTCTGGAGACATTTTTTGTGACGTGACTTGAACCAGGGTAGGGTTGAGGGAAGTTCTCTTGGTATCTAGGGGTATAAAGGTCAGGGATGCTGTCAAACATCTACAGGACAACCTCCCTCACCAAAAAATTATCTGGTCCAAAATGTGAATAGTGCCAAAGTTGAGAAACTGCTCTTAGCTATCCTTCAGAAGCTAGTTTGAAGGCAGTGCCTCCTTCAGGAAGCTTTCTAGACCTGGAGGTCATTTTCCCGCCTCTCTGATCTCCGAGGGTGCTTCATACTTTTGTTGTAACATTTACTACCTGGCGAGCTTTTTGAAAGCAGAGCGTAACTCTCACTTATTTCTGGGTCCCCAGCTTAGAGCATGGCTTTGGGATAATCTGTGGGGGACAGCCCTGAACCCACAGAAATCAGGTCTTAGGCATCACTGGAAAGGAACACAGGAATAAGAATGTGCCCTGACCTGTGTGGCTCGGTTGGGCATCGTCCTGTGCACCAAAGGGTATCTGATTCAATTCCTGGTTATGGCATATGTGGGCTCAATCCCTGGTAGGAGGTGTGCAAAAGACAGCCAATCCATGTTATGCTCTAACATCGATGTCTCTCTGTCTCCTTGTCTCTCTCTCTCCCCCTCTCCCCCCCTTCCTCTCTCTCTGAAAATCAATAACAATGTTTAAAATAATCATAATTATTAAAAAAAAGAAGAATGCATTGGTCAGTCCCCCTTTCAAGAATCCCAGGATTAATGTCTTTTTTTTTTCCAGCTTATGATTTTTTTTTTTTTTTTTTTTTTTTTATCCTCACCCGAGGACATTTTTCCATTTTTTGTTCAGGTAGAGTGGGAGGGAGAGAGAGGAACAGAGAGAGAGAAACATCGATGTGAAAGGAACACATCGAGTGGCTGCCACCCGCACAACCGACCAGGACCGGGGACAAACTGCAACTGAGGTACATGCCCTTAGCGGGAACCGAACCCAGGTCTCTCAGGACCGCAGGCCGACGCTCTAACCGCTGAGCCAAACCGGCCAGGGCTCTTATGATTTTTTTTTTCATTTTCTAATTATTTATTTTTGTTACAGATGTTTCTCCTTTTTCCCCCACTGACACCCCCCCACCCCCACTCTCCCCGCCCTGTCCCCAATTTTGTTGTCCATGTCCATTGTTCATGCATATATGCATATAAGTTCTGTGGTTTATCTCCCTCACCACCCCCTTCAGAATTAATGTCTTAATCAAAGTTTTGTTTCCTGTGATTACGTGATCTGCCCAGAAAGCTATAAAAGACTTGAGCATGGCAGGTTGAAGCTAAGACTTCAGACCAGTTAGACTAATGGTCTTTCTCCCCTTTAGAGTCTATTCTCCTTCAGGTCCATGGTACCAGTGGAGCCCGGCTGAATGCTAAGGAGCCTCTGCCCCCCATCGCCTCCAGAGAGGAAGTTGAAGCTACCAAGAATCATGTTCTTGAGACTTTCTATCCCATATCTCCCACTATGGGTCTTCAGGAAAGCAATCTTTATGATGAGAAAGACGACACAGGTAAGTGTCAAAGCCTTTGACTTTTTTAGGTTGTGTGGAGATGAGAGACGTGCTTTTTCCAAAGGGAAGAATGTGTTGTACTTCCTGGTCCCAGGCACTTGACATGCACTTTCTTCTAAGATGCGTGGAGCAGCCCCTTGAGACAGGTACTGTTTTCCCCTTTTTAGAGGCAAGGCAACTGAGGCTCAGGGAGGTTACATGATTTGTTCAAAAGCTGACTTTGCTTTTGATACCTGAGAAGCAACTCAGAGTTTTAATGGATGGCTTGAGTGGCTTTTGATCTGGGGCCACGTTTCCTGTATTCATAGATCCTTTGGAAGACACCCTCTTTCTCAGTACCCTGTAAACTCTGGCCAGCCTCCTGGTAGGATGGAGGGAGCCCCACAGGCCTTGAATGGGGTTATTCATCCAGGCTCCATCGAATAAGGTAGCACCTTCTACCCGGTCAGCCCAGACAGACTAGGGAATCAGGCTAGGCAGGCCCATGGTTTCGCTGTCCGCTCACTCGTTACAAGCTGTAGTGTCTTCTCCACCTCTCTTCATTTCTACAACTGCAACCTCAGTCTGTCCCTGTGGTCTCTCCCCAAGCCCACTGCCAGTGTCCCAGCCAGTCAGGGCGACCCAGGCTGTTTGCTCAGCAGTCCATCTATTCACAGTTAGCCTTTCGAAAACACATACAATCCTGTCTCTCTCCATGCCCCCCTCCCGCTGTCTGTTGGAGTTTGAACTCCTCAGCTTATCACAGGAAGGCCTTCAGGTGTGGCCTCTGCCCCTCTCTCCAGCCTCCTCTTGGTCTGCTCCCCGTGGCCCCTTTATCCTGCTGCACTCAGCACACTGTGCCCTTTCCCACTTCGACACATTCTCAAGTTCCTCTCCCTGGGACTTTTGACGACTCGCCTCAGTTCGTCTTCAGCTTGATAACTCTTCGTCTTTCATAATTCATCTTAGGAATAACTTTCCAGAAATGCTCTGGGACCTTCCAGTGTCATCAGGGACCTTTGACTTTTCCTCCCACAACCCCGACTCACCTTGTATCTTGACATGTTCTATGTGGACATGGTCAGTTTTCCTATCTGTCTGCCCCTCTAAACTGTGAGTTCCTCAAGGGCAGTAGCGGGCTCTGCCTGGCCTCGGTTGCTGGTGCCTGTGCAGGGCGCGGCACAGGGCGAGCGCTGCGTGTTGTGTGTCCACACGCTGGGGGACCGCAGCAGGGACTGGGGCAGGTGGCGAAGCCAGTGCTCTTCTCTGGGATTTTCAGAGCCGACCCATTCCCAGCTTCTTTCTCCCTCCTTTCCGCCCACTTTCACCAACCCAGGTTACTCATTCCAGAAGCCCCCACTTCGCACGGCTTTCCCCAGAGCCATGCGGGAGGGGAGCGGTGACCTAGGCCATGGCCGAGACGAGCACGTGCTGAGCGGGTCTCAGCACCAGTGTTGTGCCGATAGCTGTGAGGAGTGAGGCAGGTCGTCTGTTACTAATACAAAGTATTACAGTTTGCGAGTGATTTGTGCTTTTTAAAAAAATTGATTTTAGAGAGGAAGGGAGATGGTGAGAGAGAGAAAGAAACATCGATCCGTTGCCTCCCCACACATCCCCCAACTGGGGCCAGGGCCGAACCCGCAACCTAGGCATGTTCTCTGACTGGGAATCGAACCCACAACCCTTGGTGCACAGGACAGTGCTCCAGCCAACTGAGCCACACCAGCCAAATGATTTGCTTTAAAAAAAATGATTAGCCCGGCCGACCGGTGTGTCTCAGTGGTTGAGCGTCGACCCATGCACCAAAAGTTTGCTGGTTTGATTCCCCGTCAGGGCACATGCCCAGGTTATGGGCCTAATCCCCAGTGGGGGGCATGCAGGAGGTGGGTGGCCAATTGATGTTCTCTCTCATTGATGTTTCTATTTCTCTCCCTCTAAAGTCAATAAAGAAAAAAAAAATTAAATAAAAATAAATAAATAAAATTTAAAAAAAAGATTAGCCCTGGCAGGTTTGGCTGAGCAGTTGGAGCATCGGCCCGCAGACCGAAGAATCTTGGGTTTGATTCCAGTCAAGCTGCACGTACCTCAGTTGCAGTTCAGTTCCTGGCCCTGGTCGGGGTCTTTCAGGAGGCAACAGATCAGTGTGTCTCTCTTGTATCAATGTTTCTCTCTCTCTCTCTCTCTCTCTCTCTCTCCCCCCCTCTCTCTCTCCCCTTCCCTTCCCTCCTCCCTCCCACTCTATCTGAAGATAAATGGAAAAATAACTTTGGGTGAAGATTAAAAAAAAACGATTACCATAGGTTTCAGGTTATCCTTCTGCTAATATCACTGCCATTTGTATACTGGAGTGAGCGAGAAAGGGGTGGAGTTAGATTCATGCAAGAATCGCCCACAACAGGTTGGCACACATTTTTTTTTTATCCTCACCCGAGGATATTTTTCCATTTTTTGTACAGATGGAGCGGGAGGGAGAGAGAGGAAGGGAGAGAGAGAGAAACATCGACGTGAAGGGACACATCGAGTGGCTGCCACCCGCACGACCAACCAGGGCCGGGGACAAACTGCAACTGAAGTATGTGCCCTTAGCGGGAACCGAACCCGGGTCTCTCCGGACCGCAGGCCGACGCTCTAACCGCTGAGCCAAAGTGGCCAGGGCGGCATACATTTTCTATGAGGAGCCAAATAGTAAGAATTTTAGGTTTTGCAGGCCACATGTGGTATCTGTCATAGCTACTCAGTAGACATTATGTAAATGAGTGAGTGGACAGAGTTGTGCTCTAGTTAAAAACTTTATTTTCAAAAACAGATGAGGGCCAAGAAATTGGCTGCAGGTGGAAGTTTGCCAGCCTCAGAGCTAGAGTGATGGTATCTGCCTTTACTGAGTCTCTGTAGTGCCTGGCACTGAGCTGACGTGACTTTCCTGAGGCCTTGGGGCTGGCCGATGAATCTTTTCTGCCCTCCACATGGTCGTGTATCTTGCAGGGTTCCAGGAGGGTTATCCTTACCCCTACCCCCACACCCTGTATTTGATGGAGTCAGCCAATCTCCGACCACACCGCTTTCAACCAGATCAGCTGAGAGCCAAGATGATCCTGTTCGCCTTCGGCAATGCCCTGGCTCAGGCCCGGCTCCTCTATGGGGTACGTATGTGGGGAAGACCACCGAGCTGCTTTACGTGGTGCTGGTCTCCTGCCTTAACTGCTCAGAGAAACAAAGGGGGTGGGGAGGAGTCCTTGCTCTACCGAGGAATTTCAGGGAGAGGCACTTCCTTGCGCCCCACAGACGTGAGCTGACACCTGCTGGGGCCTGCTTTGTGCCTCATTGATCACAGTAGCCCATGTGGTTTCACTGTGACCCCAGTGTTAAAATTATGCCCCTGAATCGCAGGGCGGCTAAGCTGCTCCTCCAGTGTTGCACAGCAGGGAGTGGTGGAGCCAGGGTGGAGCCCGGTGTGCCCAGCTCCTAGGCTGCAGGCACTCGTCTGCAGCACCCCTCTGTTCCACAGCACCCCTCTGTTCCACAGCACCGGAGCCGAGCTCAGGCCCCTCGGCAGGCAGGACAACTGAATTAGGACCATGGCTCAGACCTGTCTGCCAAGTCAGGACAGGTTCTGGGGACCAAAGGTACCCTTGGTGGCAGCCCCTTGATTCTAAGAAGAGGGCTCAGGGACCTAATGGTGTAGAATGAAGCTGAGTGGCTGCCACAAGGTTGGGGGGAAACCTCTTCTGGGAGCAGGGGTGGGGGGAATGTTTCTGGGAGCTGCTCCCAGCTCCCAGGTCCTGGGTGGAGCTAAGGCCCTCCTGGAAGAGTGAGGAATTCAGTGTTCTGTGGTCCATCCCACTCCATCTGGGAACTGGTGGGGCTGGGGAGGTGGTTAGCCAAATGAGATCGGGTGTGCCATGGGCTCTGCCTCTGTTGAGCATCTGCTACAGCCAGGCATTTAGTTATGGTTCTGTATGTCAGTGGTTCTCAAATATGTCCTGGATTAGCAGCATAAGCATCATCTGAGAGCTCATTGGAAGCGCAGACTCTCAGACCCACCCAGACCTGCATCAGAAGCTGTGGGGTGGGGCCTGGCGGTCAGTGTCGGACCAGCCCCCTGGGTGATGCTGTCCATGCACAAGTTTGGAAGCACCGCACGGAAATCCGAGAGCCTCTGCGTTATTCTCATAGCAACCCCTGTGGCAGATACCATGAGCTTCGTTTTACAGATGAAGAAACTGAGGCTCAAGGAGGCTAAGTAACTGCCCCCGGTGACACAGCTAAGAGATTAGCAGCTGTCACATCTCTGTGTGACCTGTGTCTTCCTAGTTCTTGGACGGTTAAGTGACTTGCCCAAGAGCCCACAGTTAGTGGCAAGCGTTGGAGCCCTGATCCCTCCAGCTCAAAGGACGCGCTGCTTCCCATCCCAGAGGTCATCAGATGCCGGTCCCAGGCCTGCGGGCTCACTGCGGATTCCGTACCCACAGAGCACAGGTAGCAGCGCTGCCACTAATTGCCACCCAGTTGGATAGAAAGGAGGCTCCCCCACTCCCTCCAGGTACAGATTATTCCTGGGGATGTGAAGTTGAGCAATTATGGGAAGAGCCTCTGTGTAAAAGGTAAAATTGCTGAGAAATTTATGTACTACCTGCAGCTTTATTGATCTGTAGAGGGAGATAAGAGTCAATACAGAATTCTCAGCTAACACTTAGAGGTACTTTTCTTTTTATTTATTTCTCATGCTGCTAAGAACAGGTATTTCTAAGGCCAGCAGTCCCGGTGTGGCCCACACTGAGGGCTGACATTAGCTATTCCTGTCTTCGGACTCAGCCCTGGAGGGGTGAATGTAGGCAGCATTTCGAGTCAGGGATGCTGTGCTTCACGGGGCCTGCCTAGTGGGTCTCTGTCCGGTGGGGAGCAGTCACGAGACTGGATTGCTATGCAGTCTCAGTAGGGCGAACATATGATTGTCATCCAAACGAGGACACTGCTGAGAGTGAGCAGAGGGGCTACCATTGGACACCATGGGACACTGGCTGTGGACCAGAACAGTAGAGTGTTAAGTGATTGATGGCATGGGGTTCGGTTTGCGTCTCCTGGGTAACCTTGAGCAATCTATCCCACCTCTCTGAACCTCGTTTTCCTCGTCTGTCCAGTGGGAATAAACTGCTGGACTTACGAGATTAGAAGCAACTTTAGGTAAAACTGGCATAATGCCTGGCCTTCAGTAAGTGGTTGCTAGTATTGTTGTTATTGCCAAGTGCACTAACTGAGGGAATTAGCGGGGGCTGCTGGCAGCGTCCTGAAGCTGACATGGCTCAGTGGACGCCCAGGAACCGGGCGTATTCTCAGAGCCCTGGTGCGAGGACGGCCTGCGTCCCAGGCTGCCGGGTTCCGGAGCAGCACAAGTGGGAAGTGAGCCTGGCCCAGGGTTGGCCAGTCTCGGTTCTGACGCCACGCACCTTTGTGACTTCTGACCAGCCGCGTGCCTTGCTGAATCTTTTCTCTCGTCTGTCCATTGAGTGAGAACTGAATGGGATTATATCCACCCATTGACCCTCCAGGCCCACGTTTGATAGAGCGGATGTCTCTGGGTCGCTCTCCGGTGACACCAGGAGTTTGAGGGATCTCCTGTCGTTACCCTTTCAGCTCACCTTCCTGTCCTGTGCCTCTTGCCCAGCAATCGCCTCTCAGTGGCAGGAATTACTACTCTAATGTGCTCAACCTGAAAAGCAGGTGCCCCGGGGCCACGAGACATCGGCCAGGCTGGTGGGGGAGGTGAAACCCGTCCGTCCGTGGGGTGGACGTTTGTTTTAGAGGCCAGAACTAGAAGTTGCCTCGTCTGTGCTGTCCTTACACGCCACAGTTCCTGATTCGATGGCTTGTCCTTTTCCTCAGAATGACGCCAAGGTTCTGGAGCAGCCGGTAGTTGTGCAGAGCGTGGGCACTGACGGACGCGTCTTCCAGTTCCTAGTGTTACAGCTAAACACCACCGATCTGGCCTCCAGTGAGGGCATCAAGAATCTTGTCTGGGTGGACTCAGACCAGCTCCTCTACCAGCATTTTTGGTGTCTCCCGGTGATCAAAAAGAAGGTGGTGGTGGTGAGTCCAGCCATCTCCAGCCTGTGATTGGAGCAGGGCCATGACTCACCCTACCAGGGTGTGTGGGGGTGGGTGGAGGGGGTGCTCACGTGTGGGACCCTGGCTTCAGAAGTTTGGTGCCCAGGGCCTCTGACTGGAGTGCTCCTTCAGCCCTGCTTATCCCCTAAAACAATGCCTTCCACCCTGGGCCCTGCCCAGCTCTCCACCTCTCCCGCTTCCCTCTGCGTCCACTCCACCCTGCTCCTCACGCCTCCCCATGTGCCCTGCGCTTAAGGAGCTCAGGATCTTAGTGGATGCTGTGAAGGAGGCTTCTGCTCTTCCCCAACCCCCACCCGTTTCCCTTCTGTCTGGCCGTCCTCCACTTGTCCTCCAGGTTTAGCATAAGGACCCACCAGCCCGCTCCCATAGTCCTGTATCCCCACATCACACACGCTTACGTCGCTTGTCTGTACATGCTCTGCTTCTCCGTCAAACCGAGCTCCAGGCTCCTCCAAGGCAGGGCCATCAGTGATGCCCTCATTCATTTCATACTGCAAGCGGGAGTCCTCTGCGGCACTGTCATTGCCGCAGTCCAGTGTCAGCCGGCGCGTCAGGCCTGCTCTCTGCAGTGGCAGCGACTGTCCGTAAACTCAGTGGGATGTCAGGCAGTGATAAACACTGAGGGGACACAAAGCAGGACTGGGGGTGAGAGAACAGAGTAGGGGTGCTGCTGCTCTGACACAGTGTCCCGTGTCCCACCCGGGGCCCGAGTAGGGGTGCTGCTGCTCTGACAGCGGTGTCCTGTGTCCCACCCGGGGCCCGAGTAGGGGTGCTGCTGCTCTGACAGCGGTGTCCCGTGTCCCACCCGGGGCCGGAGTAGGGGTGCTGCTGCTCTGACACAGTGTCCCGTGTCCCACCCGGGCCGGAGTAGGGGTACTGCTGCGCTGACAGCGGTGTCCCGTGTCCCACCCAGGGCCCGAGTAGGGGTGCTGCTGCGCTGACAGCGGTATCCCGTGCCCCACCCGGGGCCCGAGTAGGGGTGCTGCTGCGCTGACAGCGGTGTCCCGTGCCCCACCCGGGGCCCGAGTAGGGGTGCTGCTGCTCTGGCAGCGGTGTCCCGTGCCGTACCCGGGGCCTGATTTGCTGGATGGCGTTGTTCAGCCTCGGAGCATTTTCAGCTTGTTATTCGTAGAGTTAGTCCTCCAGCACCCACTGGTAGTGTTTCTGCCCTTGAAGTCCTCCTGGGCCTGGGCCCTCCCCTTCGCCTGCACGGCCACACCAGCCTGGGCTCTTCCTCCTCTGCCTTCAGCCCCTTCCCGCCAGAGCACTCGGGGCTGGGCCTGGGGTGGGCAGTGGCCCCTCCTTACCGCTCCAGCTCAGCTCCTGCCCACCTGCTTCTCCCCTCCACCTCCGCAGGTGCCCCTACCCGTGCGTGCACTGTGCTCGTCTCCGAGGTCTTCCTTGTCTTTTCTTTCTGCCCCATTCTACGTGCCCTTGAAGACCCCCCCAAAGACTCATTCATACATGGTGTCTTTCATGTATGGAAGTCAATGAGTTAGTCATTTTCTCCCGTTTTCTTAACACTTTCCTGCTTCTGTTAGGAAGCCTGTCACCTTTTATTATCACCATTTGACCACCTGGCTGTAAGCTCTGTGTGGGCAGGAGCCAGATTCAAGTCACTGGGCTTCCGGCACTGGGCACGGGCCCAGTACAGAGAGAGAAGGGGCCTGGCAGCTGTGTGTGGGGCCAGCAAGGGCTTATTGTCCCTGAGAGAAGGAGTGAGACCCTCCGTTGGCCGTGGCTGAAGTGAGAGGGAGGAGGGGCCAGGTCCGCGTCAGCAGTCCTGGTGGCGTTAGGAGCTGGTGTCCTCTCCACCCACCTCCTCTTCTCTTGGGCGCCAGCTCCTCGGGCCCCTCCTTGGTCCCTGAGAGAAAAGGTTATTATCCAGGTGCTTAGCATTTACAGAAAATGGACCTTTGTTTTCATTGCTGCCACTAAACCTAGTAGCAGGATCCTAATGGGCTGTGTTCTTTCCAGGAACCTGTTGGGCCCACTGGTTTCCAGCCAGAGACGTTCAAGAAGTTTTTAGCTCTGTATTTGCACGGTGCTGTGTGAGCCGAGGACCTGTCTGAGGCCTGAGGTCCTCTGCAGCTGCCCACTGGATATCCTGCACCCTGGGCCGAGCCCGGGGTCCTTCTGACAATAAAGAGTGTGTCTGTGCCCTGGAGCCTGTGCTTGGTGTGAGGGTGCTGTCTGGAGGGACCCCCGCAGTTGCATGTGGGCCCCGCCGTGAGCCTGTCTCCACACAGGTGTGGGCTTTGCGGCCTGACCTGCCCCAGCTCTGCCCGCAAGAATCCATCTCTCTGAGTTTTAGTTTCTTCATCTGAAACTTGGGGCTAATATGTCCTACCTTGTTCTGAAGACTGTAGCTTCAAAACCACATAGTGGGTGCTCTGGGGTGGTCAGTAGGTTGGTACGGGGTTATTGAAATTGTGGACACCTCCACAATGACTGCAGAACATGAGAGGAGGCCATTTCCAATCCTGTGGGTCTCGGGGGGGGGGGGGTCGTCCCACCCACAGGTGAGGTGCTGAGCCTTTCTCACCAGTCATCGGGCATACACTGCACCCCAGAGCTGGGGAGACGTGGGTAGGTGGCTTTGCTGGGCCGAGAGCAGTGGGCCGCGGGTACTCTGCTGCTGGAGCTTCTCTGAAGAGACGGGGTGCACACCCACCTGCCACAGCTCGTCACAGGCAGGAGTGCGTGTGGCCGCACCTCTGACCCCGGCTTGCTTTCCTTCCACTTTGTAAGTTACCCTCTGGCTTGGCAGGGACGGGACGGGTGGCAGAGGGAGTACCAAGAAGAGGACAGATTGTGCTGTGGTGTGAAGACAGGACAGCAGGGTCTGCAAAAGCGGGGAGTCGACTGTGGGGTCCAGGAGGTTGGGGTGAGGCTGGAGTGGCCAATTCACAAGGAGCCTTAAATGCCAAGCACACCAGGTGACCTGGGCCAGGAGAATTCACTGAGTCCTAATGCCCATTTACTATGTTTTTATTGATTTTTTTTTAGAGAGGAAGGGCGAGAGAGAAACATCAATGTGAGAGAAATATCAATCAGCTGCCTCCACGCCCCCTACTGGGGATCCAGCCCGCAACCAGGCATGTGCCCTGACTGGGAGTCGAGCCCTCAACCTCTTGGTACATGGGGTGGCACTCAGTCCACTGAGGCACATGGGCCGGGCTACTTATTTTAAAGGCAACGGTTAACAGTGCTCACTCACTCCAGCAGCACGTGTGCTGGGAGTGGCCCCACACAGAGAAGATTAGCATGGCCCCGCATGGAGAGCACGCAGGTTCATGAAGCGTTCCTTAGTTTAAAAACAGAAAAAGAAAATTATTGTATGTTAATGTGAAAACTCTTTAAAGTATACTATATAAATGAAGTCACCCCACCCAAGGCAATCCTTAGTCCCCCCCAAGGGTAACCACAGCTTCAAGGGTCCTCAGTACCGCTGAGTTTGTGTAGGATATTACATCACCAGCGCCGTCCGACTTGCAGACTTCTGCACCGTCTCCACCTGCAACCTGGGGAGGGCAGGGCCTGCCACATCGGCACGTACGAGCATGTTCTTGTCCTCAGCTACGTTAGTATCTATCAGTGGACAGTCCGGTTATATTCCGTTGTGAGCTGTTGCAAATAATGCTGCAATGAGCATCCTTGTAAATGTACCTTAGAACACTTTTGCTGGCATCGCCATTGGATAAATTCCCAGCAAAATTGCTGAGTCAAGGGCTTTTAAAAAAACTCTCGTGGTTGTGGAGGATGAGTTAACGGGGCCACAGTATGGAACCCAGCCGGAGGCCATTGAGGTCATTCTGGGGTGAGTGACGGTGCCGGCTTGGGGCTGAGCAGCTGGAAGCCCTTGGAGACCAATGGGAATGAGCCTGAGGGACACAGGCTGCGGGGAAGCAGACAGCAGATGAGATGACCTTGCAGCTCGGGATGCCCTCATCCCAGCCCCTGGGGGAGGACAGCCCTAAAGGCTGGTGTTGGTGTGAGCCGGGGACCACTGCACTTTCCAAGTTCCTTGCAGCTGATCCACGAGGGGAGGCCAGCAGGACTGGTGGTTTTCTCCCCACACAGCTGAGGACAGCTGCCCCTCCACAGAGATGTGCCCACCTGCCTCATCCTCACCACCTCCTCACATTCCTTTCCCCTGACATAGGAAGGGAAGGGATACAGGTGATTTGAAAGGCCCCTTTGTCATGCAGGCCCCAGAACAGACTATTTACCTACTTAGTGAGGGGGGCCAGGAAGCAGAGGTACTGGGGGTGGGGTGGGGGGAGAGGCCACACTACTGGTATAAAAACCCACTTACAGCCCTGGCTGGTTTGCCTCAGCGGTTAGAGCGTCGCCCTGAGGACCAGAGAAACGCGTGTTCGGTTCCTGCTAAGGGCATGTACCTTGGTTGCAGTTTGTCCCCGGCCCTGGTTGGGTCGTGTGGGAGGCAGCCACTAGATGTGTCCCTTTCACGTCGATGTTTCTCTCTCCCTCCAGCTCTAGCTGAAGATAAATGCAAAAATGTCCTCGGGTGAGGATGAAAAAACAAAAACAAAAAACTCACAGGGACTTGGACTTCTAAGCAACAAACTTGGAATCAAAATTCTGACACTGCCACCGAACTGACGTGAACATATTCTCACCGGGTCAGCTCTACGTCTTGTTGATCGTTCAGTTTCCTCTGCTTGTTTCCAGCAGTGGCAAGTCGGGGGAGGGGGGAGGGCATGTCCAAGAGCCTCTATACCCCAGCTTCCCTCTCAGATCCTCAGCTTCCTCGTCTGCAGAATGGATAAAGCACCTCTGTTTTAGGTTCTGTGCACATTTTGAGTAATAAGCTGCATTGGACCAGGCGGTTTCAATGAGTGGGTCTGGAGCTTTGCAGAAGCCCGGTGAAAAGGCGGCTTTCACTTGTAGGCTGCTCTGTTGTCCCCCTAGGCTTGGCTCAGGCTGGACCTAGGGCAGGTGCTTGCCAGAGGCCCTGTGACTTACGGGGCTCTGTCACCTGAGGTTTTACCCAGCATCTCCCTGCTTCCTTTTTTGCTATGGGAGAAAGTCCCTTAAAGCATGCCTGTGACCTAAGTGTCTCAGGCAGTCTGCCCTTTGGCTCGGATACACAAATCACCATGACGCATCGGGCTACCTGCCTGGGTGCTGGAGGACCACCCTGTTATAGGGACCCTCTTTCCAGGTATGCCTGGGAGCCTCCAAAGACGTGTGCTTGTTACAGAGCCATCCTGGTGCCACCCCTCACTCAGGATGACAAGCTCTCGGGCACTTGGTCATTCAGCTCACGAGTCCGTCAGCGTCCGTGTGTGGCAGGCATGCCGCAAGGCCCTGGTACCGAGCAGTGAGCAAAGAGGTCCCTGCTCTCACCACGTGTACCTTCTCGCGGGAAGGTGGTGAAGAGAGTGGGGAAGTCGGCTGTCTAACAGGGCTCCCTGCAGCAGACTGAGGGGGGGTTGTGGCAGGGTTATTGGGGAGCACTCTCTGGAGACCTGTGAGCAAGGGCAGAGGGCGGAGCTGAGGCCTCCGCTAATCCTGTAGAGAGCTTGGAGCTGGGCCTTCAGAGTTACCCCAAATTGAAGTAAAGTGGTGGGGCTTTGAGGTCACCCATCAGCCAGTGACCACTGGCCACCACCTGGGAGGAGGTGAAACCTTGGGTGCGGCATTTCCATGGGGTCCGGGGCAAGGCCCAGGAAGGGACGCAGTTGCGAGCCATCCGCATCTGGGGAGAGGTGAGGTGTGCCCACTTAGGTAACAGGCAGAGAGGGCCTCTGTGAGAAGGGACCTTTGAGTAAACACAATGAAGCGTGGGGGCAGCTGGGAAGGCCGCTGGGGAAAACGCAATGGCTGAAATGGGCACGGGATCGGTGTGTTCGCAGGAGCGGGTTGGGGTCAGGGAAGCCCTGCTTGAGCGCAGGCTCCCTCGCAGAACCCTGTCCCTGTCCCTCACGCGCTTGCCTGCAGCTGCCGGCCCTCCCTGCTCTGCAGAGGAAGGAATTCAAGTCACAGCCCAGTGGAGCCTGTGGGACCTCTTTCAGAGGTGGCAAGGACAGCTAAAAAGCTGGAGGACACCAAGGTGTGGCTTGGTGGTTGAGCGTCGACCCATGCCAAGAGGTTGCTAGTTCAATTCCTGGTCAGGGCACATGGCCAGGTTGTAGGCCCAATCCCGTGTGGGGCGTGCAGGAGGCAGCCAATCAATGTTCTCTCTCATCGATGTTCCTCTCTCCTCTCCCTTCCTCTCTCTCTAAAATCAATAAAGAAGAAGAAAAGCTGGGGGAGACGTAATCCCACATAAGAAGAGCCCTACCTTTCCCTTGCCCCTGGAGTCCCAGGAACCAACATTCACATCCAACACACGCCCCCCCTCCCCCAGCAGTGCGGAACTTTCAGGTCAGCCTCTTTCATTCTGTCATCCACCAGCTTAAACCCAAGGGTCTCAGCTCTGCCCTTGGGCCACACACCTCGTGTACTCTCAGCCAGGAGACTGACCTGAGATTTGAGGCTAGAAATTAAATGCCTCTAAGCCAAATAGCCTACTATCTGACTCCCACTGGACGTCTCTCCCACTTCTCAATGCAATACCTGCTTCAGGCCATAGCACAGAGCAGGGCCCAGGACCCAAATCCTCAGCAGGGCTGAATGGCAGGGTGGAGTGAGGCCAGCCCCTCCCCTGTTCTGGACACTCTGCTTTAGTTGTTGCCACCTGAGATCCTCAGTCTAGACCATGCCAGACACACCAGGTCACATCTCCCCACACCCAAAGCCTGTATTCAGGCTTGCTGTGCAGGGCAGGGGTCCAGTGTAAGAGCTCCATGGCCTCTCCCAGCTTTTTGTCACACCCCCCCCCCCCCCGCAAACACACACACACACACACACCATGGGTCTCCTCATCCCCAGCTGGGCCATGATGGAATTTAAGAATAGGTCAGGCCCTGGTGGGCGTGGTGCAGTGGCTACAGCATTTGCCCACACACCAAAGGGTCACGGGTTCGATTCCCAGCCAAGGGCACATTGCTGGGCTGCAGGTTCAATCCCCAGCCCCAGTGAGAGACACGTTCGGGAAGCAACCAATGTCTCTCTCACATGGATGTTTCTCTCTCTCTCCCCCCCTCCCTTCCACCCTCTCAACATCAATGGAAAAAAGATCCTCTAGTGAGGATTAACAAAAACAGGCCGAAGCCCCCTCTGGGAAAGCACAGGCCTGGCATCCCTTCTCCCGGTGGCAGGGCCTGATCTCGCAGTCAGGCCTGGGAGGGCAGCGAAAGCCTTTTGCGGACGGTCCTCGCCTCCCAGACCCGCCCGGTGAGAAGGCCAACCCTGAACAGCCCTCACCAGGGCTGTGGATGTTGCAAAGGCAACAATAGGGGTTGCTGGGGGCCACAGGCCGAGGGGTGCGGGAAGGGCCCCGGGTGTCCTCAGCCCCAGGGAGAGGTGGGCGCTGAGGCACAAGCAGGCTCCCACTACAGGAGTCTGCTCTGCCCCACCACCTGGGTTTCCTCCCAGCTCAGCACCCAGCGCTCCTGCCGAGTCCTGCCTGGGAGCACGGTGGCAGCTGGGGTGTTGAGGGATGTTTGCCCATCACCTCGACCCTCTCCTTTGCCCGGCGCTGGGCTGGCTCGTGGCACAAAGGCCTCTTCAGAGCTGTGAGCGCAGCTCAGCCACGGTGGGAGTTTCCCGATTCATGGTGATGTTTTCCCAATGGTCAGAGGGGTCTGTGCAGAGGAGCCTAGAAAACCTTGTTCTAAGATGAAGAAAAATGCAAAACGAATCGAGACCCTCCCAATCACTCATCACACCCTCTGGACTCTCCCCAAATGAGTTACCACCACTGGCAGCTAACACTACTGCTCTCACTCGTGCAAGGCATCGTTCTGAAGTGCGAGCGTCCTCACCCTCACAACCCCACGAGGTAGGTCAACCACCCCGTTTGACAACGAGGAACCGAGCAGAGGTAGGAGCCAGCTCGGCCCGGCCACACAGCACGCAAAGGCAGGGTCTGCAACTGGCATTCCCACCTGGCCGCTCAGATCTTGCGAAGGTGGCCCGAGCCTCACTCTGCTGTCCCCTCCGTCCTGCTGCAGGCCTGGCACGAGGTCCCCAGAGCTCCAGGAGACAGAAACTTCTACAATCAACTCGGCATCCACAGCTCACCTCACCCAGGCTCGGCGCTTCTTGCCTAGGCGATGGCTGGGCCTGTGTCCCCACACCCAGGCTCGTCACACCAGTTTTCTAGAACTCACACCCAACTGTGCTACTCTGAAAAGCCCTCAAGAGCTCCCCCTTGCCTTGGAGGTTAAGAAAAAGAAAGAAAAATCCCCCTCCCAGGGGCCCAGCCCCCGAGGGTCGGTGAAGCAGAGTCCAGCGAAGGGAGAGGCGGGTGAGGCAGCCGCCCACGGGGCCATCCTCGCTGGCACTGCCGCTCGGAAAACACAGGCCACCAGAACTTTCTCCCCGTCCGGAAAAACCCATTCTGGCAATCCAAATGCGTTTCAAAGACGGGAGACCCAAACGGCCTTTAAAGTGCCCCCGGATGTCTGAGTGGGACCGGGCGGTCTTCCCTCCAGCCCACCTCACCAGGCCCTGGTCCTCTCCACGGGAAATGCAGAACATGCGGGAGGAGAAGGCAGGCGCCTGGAACAAAAACAAAATGTCGTGCACCGGGGACAAAAACTGCTCAATCCGTTGTCTTGCGTTTTGTAATCAGTATAATAAACTCCCACCCACGTTCCCCCAAACATGTCAGGAAGGGCTGCGGAAAAAAGATGTCCCTTTAATAAAACGTTATCAACATATATCGTACACAAACTACAATGTATCATAATTACTTTTTTTCCTCTCTTAATTCAGAACCAGACTACAAGGTAAGAAAAAACACAGAAACAGCTACAATGTTCCCAATAATCCGCACAAGGTCTTTTTTCAGGCAGATGATATCTCACATAATATGATATACATGGATCAGAAGGGGGAGAAACAAAGACCAGCTACGGGGAGGGAGAGGAGGGGGAGTAAATGTACAAAGAATTCGGTGTCTCCAGGGCAAGACACAGAGGTTTCCATGGGGGTGCTGAGGTGAGGGAGGCCCAGTCACCCCTCCTGGGAGGGGACAGGCTCCACTGTGGCGCGTGTTGGTTTTTGGAAATAAAAACAGGACCGGGAACAGCTCGTCGGTTTGGTGGCTGATGTCCCCCCACCCCCACGGCCATTCCAAAGTCTTTCCATCCAGTTCCAAGCAGATGCAGAACGATTCTGGTCAACAGCCCATCTTTGAAAAGGAGGAAGAATTAAGAGAAAAAAACAAAAGCGAACCCCAAACGGCAGCCCTACACTGCCAGCACCCACACCGAGGACGAGGACGGTGCAAGGGCTACGGGATGAGGACGTGGAGGTCAGTTTCCATGTCCCAGGTCATAGCCATCCTGTCAGGGGTGGCCTCTCCCACTGCGCTCCAGGCCACCACCCAGCTGGCAGGACTCTCGCTGGGAAGCGGTGGGGGCGGAGGGGCCGGGGCGGGGAGGGTCCAGGAGAGGAGGGAGCAGTCCTGGGAACGCAGGTGTGCCCGGTGGCAGCCAGTCTCCGCCTGGCGCAGTCCTCAAGGCCTTCGGGCGGCCTGGCCCCTCCAGCCACGCGATGGGGTGGGGGTGGGGTGGTTTCTGGGGTCCAAGCTGTGCAGCTGCTGTCACCACCTTAGCCAGGAGAAACTAAGCAAACCCCCGCAAAAAAGACACAGGTCCCGTCCCCCCATTACCCATCTGTACAAGCCAAAAACCCTAAGTAGAAAAGGGTGACTTCCTTTTTCTTTCCAAAAAAAGGCCTTTTGAAAGAAACCACTGGTTGTAAACTGCCCAGTTTATTATTATTATTATCTTTAGGTGGCTACAAAGACAGCGTGAGACCTCACGACCCTAGACTAGGTTTCCTGGTGAAAGGGCTTGGGTACAGACAGCAGGGCTTGTTGGTGTGTTCTTTTTTGTGTCCTTTTTCCTTTTTTTTTTTAAAGAAGAAAACAAAGTTGGTAGGGGTTAAATGGGCTGGGGGCTTGCAAGAAGCTTCCTTTAAAAAAGAAATTCCCCCTCAAACCCCACCCCTGAAAATAAAAAAATCCCAACAACGGTAAAACCCCAAACAAAAAACAACAAAAAAGTGTCATGTACATAAAAGATCCTTTTGGGAAAGGGTAGGGGGTGGGATTTTTCTGGTCATTGGCTTGAAATATATTTTTATTTTGAGTTTTGTCCTTCATGTTTTATGGAATAAAAAGTTCGGCCTTTTTATTGCATGAAACTAAAATTGGGAAAGGTGGGGGAGTGGAGAGGAGGGCAGGGCGGAGGGGGAGCGGGAGACGCCCCTCCCCCAGCTCCTGGGTAATGACACCTCACTTCTTCCTGCATAATGTCTGGCATCTTCCCGCCTGCAATGCCGGCTCTCTCAGCATCGGAGAAGAGGAGGGGGAATCACACACTCATCGTCATGCTTGGAGAATACTGGAAGGAGAGAAGCAGAGAAGGGGGGTCGTGAGGGCCGGGGAGTGAGAGACTTGTGAAGGTCTGGTTGCATCTAGTTGGACAGGACCAGGCTGGGGCCTGGCTGGGCTGACACTGGGCGGGCAGGGCGCCTCTCAGCCCCAGTCTGTGCCCGTCAGGAACTCCCTGCCCCCTCTATGAATTGCCCAGAATTGCCTAGCCTCGTAGCTGCAGAAGCAGGTGCCCTTCCCCACTCCTCTCCCAACCCACCCCTGCCAGTGCTGCAGCTTTCCCGCAGCTGGCACAGGGACTGGGGACCGGGAATGGTGAGCCAGGGTGCCCGGGGTGGGAGTCAGTCTGGGTTGTCAAACGCTGCTTAACCATGAGGTTGTTACTTCAAATAAGACTAGACAGAAGCCCAGTATGGAAAAGATGGTAGCCCCTCGGCAGCGAGACCCCAGGCAATCAGTTTGTATGAACCTTCCTCCCCAGGACAGATGGCGATGGACTCCAGGAGCTAATGACCCAGTGGGCCAGAGCCCAGGCCTCCCACTCCCAGCCCAAGGCGTTTCCAGTCACACCAGCTGAACCGGTGCCCGAGGCACGGCGCTGCAGACCACCCTCCAGCAGGATGGGCCGCGGCCAGGTCTGGTGGCGGCAGCAGGGAAGGTGAGAGGCTCACGACATGGCTGCTGGGACACGGGCCCAGGGGGCAGGTCTTGGCCAGGACGCTCTGAGATTTGTTCAATAGTCCCCGGCCCCCCGGAGGGAGCAGATACCAGCCCGGGGTGAAATGAGGGGGCGGGCACACTCACATTGTCGTTCTGGAAGGAGTGGAGGAAGTTCCCTCCGAGCTCACCGTCGTCTCGAGGGGTGCCTGGAGGGTTGCTAATGCCACTTATGTTGTTGGGAGAATTCTGCAGGGAGAAGGGAGGTGGTGAGCCCGGGCCCACAGCCTGCCAGCCGGACGGGGAGAAAGGCTTTCTGGGGGGGAGGGGGTCCCAGAGGTGACGCAGGGTGGGTTTGCTCAGGGAGGAGACATCAAACGCACACTCACTTTTGGAAGTCCATCTATGTCACCTGACCCTGGAAGGAAAAAAGTCCCAGTCAGTTTCCTGCCCACTCTTCTGTGGAGGGGCCTCCAAACCCTTCCACCTGAATCCCACACTATTTCCGGGCAGAGAACGTTCCATCCTGGCGGTATCTTTCCCTCAGGACCTTCCCAGGGCTGCGGCCCAGGCCCCGCTGGGCCAGGGGCTGAGGCAGAGAGAAGGCGCCCGGCGCGGCGGGGCAGCAGCTCACCTAAGGATCCGTTCATGTGGTGTGGCTCCATGCCGCCCATGCCTCCCATCGGGCCTTCTGAGCCTGGACCCATCGGAAACTGAGAAAGAAGCACAGTGCGCGGCGGCTGAGTGGGCCACGCTCTCAGGCTCACAAGCCCAGCTGCCCCGTGTCCTGACCTCAGGGAGCTTCCACAGTGGGGGTGGGGGCTCCTCTCTCACACACGCAAGGCAGAACAGTGGGCATTTAGGTTGTTTCTACTCTCTGGCTATTATGAATGATGCTTATGAACATTTGTGTACAATTACCGCGGGGACAGGGGTTTTCCTTTCTCTGGGGTAGATACCTAGGAGTGGGCTTGCAGGACCACACGGTGACTGTTCAGCCCTTGGAAGAACTGCCAGGCTATTCGCCAGAGCTGCCGCGCCACTCGACATCCCCACCAGCAAGGCGTTCAGTTCAGGTTCCAGTTTCCCATCCTTGGCAGCACTGTCATCATGTCTTTCAATTGCAGCCTGGTGGTATGAAGAGTACCGCGTTGTCGTTTTCATTTGTATTAGTGCTGAGCTTTGTTTCATTGTTCGTTTTTCTTCGGAGAAATGTCTATTAAGCAGACCCTTGGCTTATCTTCTCACTGGATTTTGTTTAATTATTGAGTTTTAAGAGTTCTTTACGTATTTTAGATTCAAGTCCCTTATCAGATATAAGATCTATAAATATTTTTTCCTACTCCACAGGTGCAGGCTGACAGTGTCCTTTGAAGTACAGAAGTTGTCAATTTTTATGAAGTCTGATGCATCTCCTTTTTTGTTGCCACTTGTGCTTTTGGTGTTGCAGCCGAGACGCCTTCGCTTACCCCAGGTCACAGAGATGTACTCCGTGCTTTCTCTGGCTGCAGCGTTAGCCCTGCCGTGCAGGCCCAGCGTCTGCCCTGCAGAGTGCATTTCTGGGTGTCGGCGTTAAGGAAGCGCCGGGTCCTCCGTTCTCTGTCAACTCACCAGATGTGCCAGCCGTCTCAGAGGCCCATCGTTCCTAACACCCCGGAGCACACTGGATGTCAACAGCAGGCAAACCTGTCCTCCTCAGGGCACACGGTTTTAAAGCAGAAAGGTAATTTGAACTTGTGAGATCAAAGTTGGATTCCAATTAAGTTATAGTTTTAATAAAGAAATTGAGGAAGTCCTGTTTAACCCCTTACTGGTGATATCTTTTGAGTTCTCAAGCAGTCTCATTTCCAAAAAATGAGTCATTCCTTTGGCTGAATGAGATTTGGTTGCAACCCCTCCTCCTCCCCCACCCACGACCCTGAACAGCGCAGGTGCGGCCCGTCCGCTCGTCATCTCGCTCCTCACAGCCTCTGAGGACCTTCCGACAGCCTGGAGGCACAGCGTGTGCAGTTCTACTCGACTGTGCGTCCTTCCTCCATGCTCGCCTCAACGCGCCTCCCGGTGAGAGGGGGACATCACAGCAGGCCAGCCTTCTAATCTTTCCTGCGGCCAGCAACAGTGATGGCCATCCTGTGGGCAGGTGCCTGAGGCTCCGGATTTCCATCAAGTCAAAAACCTCATTAAGGGCATCGGCATGTTTTGAAGAAACTGACAAGTAACCACACACTTTCACAGGGAAGCCTGATATCACAGGTCAGCACACCACACCCTTTGGTAGCAGCGTGGAGGGCAAGGTGGATGGGAAATTTAGCAGGCAAGATGTTTAAGACTAAATGGAATTTGCCAAACTGTCTACTGTCTGCCCAATATGCGACAAACGAGCCAAGTCTAGGTTCATATTTGGACAAGAGAACCACCACCTGTGATTTATGTTTTCTTCACAGAAATCAAGGTGACGGCTCAAAGCTCCCGTGTTCAAGTCCGAGCTCGCAGACCTGGGGACGGAGGTTGCCGGGACCTGGTGCAGGGCGTTAGTGCTGCAGGAAGCCCGCCCGCCCGCCTGCTGGGCAGAGCCCAAAGAAGCCACCGCACCGTGAGGGCCAGTTCGCCGTCAAGATCCCCGGTGACCCAGAGGCCGAGCCGCAGCCTCTGCAGGAGCTGTCACCTCCTCTCGGGTCAGGGAGCAGGTAAGCGGCCGGCATGGCGATGGGCTCCGTCAAGGGGGCACGTCCAAGGGAACCCAGCGGCTGCTAGTTTTGACCGAGCTCTGGTGTCCCTTTGGGTTGATTTAGAAGGATGTCTCCGCCCAGACGGGTGGTTCAGACTCCAACGCACCTTCACACTCCTGTGTGGTCACAGCCTCCTCTCCTTTCCGGCATCTGGGCAGGGCCTCCCTAATCCAGCTCTGCCCTCCCACCCCGCATCTTCCTGGGGCTCCGGGTCGTGCTGGTGCTTCAGTGTTCTCACTTTCATCATCTGAGCCCTCAGAAAGCACGGAGCCAATAGGCACAAGGTGGGAGACGGAGCCTGTACGACCCGACAGCACACCGGCCCGTCTGCGCCAGCGCCCGGGGCTGCAGCGCCCTGGGGTGGCACCCCTGGGAGCCACAGGCCATGACTGCCGGGACAGCAGCCGGGGGGAGGAGGGCTGTCAGCACCGTTTCCACGGGACACTGAACACAGTGTGCCCAGTGCCTGTGCTTCAGCCGCTGTATAGGCCCTGCCCTTTCCCGCCCAGCTCTCGGTGTCCTGAGATGTCATCTCCGAGGACGGGGCTTTCAGAGCTAACACCCAGAGGGCTGGCCACCCAGCGAGAAGGCAGGGCTGGTGGGAGGTGCCGGGTGTGCAGAAGAAGGGAGGGAGCGGGGTGGGGGCTCCGGCGTGACATGTGGTTCCCACCACGCTCAGTCACATGTACCTACCGCCCTGCTTGGACCCCCGGCGGCGGTGGGGCCAGGACGCTCACCGCAGGGCCACAAGCAGCTTGAAGCACAGTGACCAACATGAGGCCGCTCACAATCAGGGGTTAGCACATGGGGGTGGTTTCGGTGTCACATTAAGAACTGAACCCACCAAAAAATAAACAAAACGTCCCAAAAAGCCATAGAAAATTTGGGGACCTCAAGGCCACCCTCTGGTCCTGCAGTCCCCAGACTGCTGATTTGGTCACAGGATGGCTGGGCTGACATGGAAGGGCTGTCTGGAGGTGGGTGGACCAGCACTGTCCTCGGGGAGTGCCCAGGTGGGACAGAGACAGGCGAGAGCCGCACAGTCAAGTCCCACAGGACATGGGACAGAGGGACAGGGAGCAGGTGATCACAGAACAGGCAGAATTTAGCTGCAACGTCACTGAAGGTTGGAATTTGAGAGGCCAAGGAAGACAGGAGTGGCTCCCTGATAAGGACACAGCCTGAAGAGAGACAAGGAGGCTGCAGGGGCAGGAGTCACAGGGCCCCCGAAAGAGCCGGAGGCCCAGGGCAGGCAGGTCCCCAAATGGGCCATGGGCTCCTGCCGCGGCCTCCACTCAGCTCCGGGGCCAGGGAAGCAGAGCCAAGGTGAGGGGCTGCCCAGGATGGCACAGGCAGCCAGCTGGGCAGGGACCAGCCTAAACCCCACTGTACCCCACACAGGGCGGCAGGGGTCCCCTCAGGGGGTCCAGGGCCCCACTCCGAATGGAAGAGTCGGAGTCACCCTTCCCCCCACCCCCACCCCCCAGCAGCTATGAGATGGGAACTGAGGTGCCCAAGAGTTAATCACTTTTCTGATGGTTTATTTTATTCATCTTTGGAAACAAATGGCTGAAATCAATTAAACTTGCTTCCCCCTCAGCTGATGAAGTTAATTATGATTTGTTATGGTATCTGATGTGTAAATTATTAGAAAGCAGACTTACGTTGGCCCGGCTGCCTCCAGGCGGCACCGGATTAATCATTGTGTAGATGTTGTCACTGGAATTTGTTGAGTCTGTGGAACAGTGGAAACCCGCACGTCGGGTGATTAATTCATTTCTTAATTAAAACAAACTCGTGGCACTTGAACTCATTCTTTTGTATTTTATCACCTAAAATTTCCTTTAAGTACCGCCATTTTCTGGCTAATTTGTATTTAATGAAGATTCACAAAGTTTTTAATCACAGAAAATTCATCTGTGAAAACCACTCAACCCTGAAACGAAGGATTTCAGGGTGTCTGGACAGCAGTGTGGACAAGGCAAAGGGGGATACAGGTTCCAATTCTTGTCTCCCCACCCCAAACCAAATCTGGGCACTGGCTGGGACAGCCAGATCACCACCTGTGTTCTCCCTAAACCTGTCCAGCCGTTTTAGTCAAATCAGGGAAAGAGAAACGCCACAAATTCCCTGGGGGCCAGCCTGCCACCCTGATGGGGCTGGAGGGAGAGGCAGGGACGGGGCTGGAGGGAGAGGCAGGGACGGGGCAGGAGGGAGAGGCAGGGACGGGGCAGGAGGGAGAGGCAGGGATGGGGCTGGAGGAGAGGCAGGGACGGGACAGGAGGGAGAGGCAGGGATGGGGCTGGAGGAGAGGCAGGGATGGGGCAGGAGGGAGAGGCAGGGACGGGGCTGGAGGAGAGGCAGGGACGGGACAGGAGGGAGAGGCAGGGATGGGGCTGGAGGAGAGGCAGGGATGGGGCAGGAGGGAGAGGCAGGGACGGGGCTGGAGGAGAGGCAGGGACGGGGCTGGAGGAGAGGCAGGGATGGGGCTGGAGGAGAGGCAGGGACGGGATGGAGGAGAGGAGCGGAGGGGCTGGAGGAGAGGCAGGGACGGGGCAGGAGGGAGAGGCAGGGACGGGGCTGGAGGAGAGGCAGGGACGGGACAGGAGGGAGAGGCAGGGACGGGGCAGGAGGGAGAGGCAGGGACGGGATGGGAGGAGAGGCAGGGATGGGGCTGGAGGAGAGGCAGGGACGGGGCGGGAGGGAGAGGCAGGGATGGGGCTGGAGGAGAGGCAGGGATGGGGATGGAGGAGAGGCAGGGATGGGCGGAGGAGAGGCAGGGACGGGGCGGGAGGGAGAGGCAGGGATGGGGATGGAGGAGAGGCAGGGATGGGGCAGGAGGAGAGGCAGGGATGGGCAGGAGGGAGAGGCAGGGACGGGGCTGGAGGGAGAGGCAGGGACGGGGCAGGAGGGAGAGGCAGGGATGGGGCTGGAGAGGCAGGGATGGGGCAGGAGGGAGAGGCAGGGATGGGGCTGGAGGAGAGGCAGGGACGGGATGGGAGGAGAGGCAGGGATGGGGCTGGAGGAGAGGCAGGGATGGGGCTGGAGGAGAGGCAGGGACGGGGCTGGAGGCGCACTAACACTTGGAGCAGTTTAACGGCCAAGTCTAAATGTAGGTCATACAGATGCAGCAGCAGAAAGGAGTCGTCGGAGTAGGAGCCGGAACAGCTCCACCCCTGCAGCTGAGCAGCTTCCCTGCTATGGGGAGCCAAGGAGGAGGGGAGGCAGGACCCCTCCAGATCCCCAATTAGCCAGAAACTTCTCCTTAGGAAATCAGCTAACATGTTTATATCAAGAGCCGGCCCTGAATTTCTCAGGCAGAAATCCAACCACCTCTCACTTTTTATTTCTGGGGTGGGTAAGGACTGCGTGCTGAATTCCTCTACTGGTGTATGCTATTCTTAGCTGGCAAAGAGGCACCATTGTGACAGTGTGTGATGGTTAAGGAAAAAGGGAGAAGGGGTCTCCTCCAGAGAGGACCAGAAGCCAAGAGGCATCAGGAGAGAGTTCTGGCCCCAGGCTCTAGAACCCAAATCCCTTTTCCGTTTCCTAGACAAACACACAACCAGGACAAGGTTCTGACGTGGAGCCGAGGCAGTGAGACCCTGTTCCCAGCCCTCCCACTCTGCTCCTTCAACCAGAGACGAGGCATGACCTGGCTGAGGCACCGGTAGTTTCATGGCACCAGAAGCCTCAGGTCCCCAAATCCCCGACGCCACAATGGTCAGTGTAGAGTGTGCTGCTCAGGAAGACTGGCCAGTAACCCTGGGCTCTGCCCCTGTGCCCCCCAGGGCTCCCTATGCCCCAAAGGCACCGCTCCCAAGTCCTCTTACCTGCAGGACTAGGCATGATGGGTGTTCCTGGGGGGCCACCACCGCCAGGGGGTCCCTGGAGATAAGATAGACACTGACATCAGAAACCCATGGTGGTGACACGTGGGGAGAGGCCACCGAGCTCCGGCCATGACAGCAGCCAATGCTCACCCGGGGCCCAGCTGGCATTCCACTCTTGCTAAACCTCCATCACTACGCAGAGCCCGAGTGTTTAAGCCTTAGGGGACTGGAGAGCTTTTCTTTCTTTAAACTGCAGGGTGTGTGTGTGTGTGCACACATGTGTGCTCACATGCATGCCAATCAGTGCGACCAGAGGCCTGTGCTGGAAGCCAGCCAACCCACTGGTCAGCCCCAGCATGGGGATCCCAGAGCCAGGTCTTGTTTGGAAACTTCTGGACACCCAGAAGGTACGAAGACCTGAACACTGACAGCGAGCTCTAGCACAACTGGAACCTGTGCTCAGAACGTGGTCTGAAGGAAGGACGGGGACCTGAGCAGTCCTCCCGCACACGCAGCGCAAACCCCACTTACCACGTAGGTACCGGGTGATGAGGAGGAGTATGGAATCTAGAAATAAGAGGCGGGGGAGCCACGCGTCAGAGCCACTTCCTCTGACAGGCAGCACTTTTCGGTTTCCAAACCCACCTAAGGATACAACCCCATTCTTGATGGGACAGGCTATGGAACCCACCAAGCCCGCTGGGTAGCTTCCCTAGGAGGGGCGGGGGTATGAGCTGATCCCCACAGCCTTGCAGGGAGCCTTGGGGGGCCTTCAGTTCCAGAGGCAGGAGGCCCCCGCTCTGTCCTCCAGACTGGACCCGTTCCCCGCTCCCTCCTCCGGGCGCTGAGGCTGGCCCTGCGGGGTCTCTGAGCCAGGCTCTCAGCTCACACCCCGTTTCCGCAGAGGGGTGGCTGGGCTGCGCACAGGCTCGGACCCAGCATGCTGCTCCAAGCCTCCGCCTACAGGCAGGCTTCTTGCAGGCATCAGGGAGTGGCTGCTATATCTCTCCTGCATGTTCCTACCTCCCACCCGGGGACAGGAACCGCCCTGCACCCCAGAGCCCCTCCCTGGCAAACACCAGCCACCCAGCCGATACTCACTGAGTTCGCACTGTTAGGATTGGGCCAGGGTCTGCCAGCTCCCGGGCCCCTGACAGAGGGAGAGAGAGATGGAGACAGTGAAAAGGGGCCTCAGCTCCAGGGGTGGTGCCAGCAGGGGCACAGCAAGAGGGCCGGACTGTCTAACGGCAAGTCCTCTGCACCAGCCCAGGGCCTGCGCGGCCAGCTGGCTCTGGGGTTGTAATAGGCAGAAGTCTACAAACTCCTAGACATTACACGGGAAACTGGTGACGCACATAACGTGCACTTGCCCAGGGATCTATCACTGCAAAGGGGTCAAGAAACACTAACGCGCTAGAACAGTCACACAAGGGCTCCAATCTGGACCCTTCCACTTTACGCTGTGTGAGCCTGGGCAAGTGACCTCATCTCTCTGGGCCTCAGTCACCTCACCTGTCAGTGGGAGATGACAGTAACCGCTCACAGGGTCACCATGATCAGGTGAGCGAAGCCACGTTAACATGCTGAGAACCGTGCTGGGCACATAAAGCCTGCACTGGGGGGGTCTCATCACCACGTCACTGATGAGGAGACCGAGGTCCAGAGAGGTGCCAGTGATGGCGAATCACAAGTGCTCCAGGAGGGCAGCAGAGGGTGGGAAGCCACGGGCTCTGAGCCACGGGCAGGTCACGTTTGCCTTACATGTTAATCCCGGGCATGGCGGGGCCGAGGGAGTTGGGTGGTGGTCTCATGCCGCTGCCGTAATTCTGCAACGATAACCAAGGGTCAGTCTATGAGAAGGAGAAGGGGAACCGGAGAGAAAAGGAGGGAGGGAGAACAAACAGACAGAATATAAGCGAGAGGGTTAGTCTGTGGAAGAATCTGATGAGAAAAAATAACACATTTGTTTGAAAAGGTGGAGGGAGGGTGGGAACCAAGTGATGGGATCACAATGACAAGCCAGCACAGAGGGACAGTCACAACTCAATGCAGCTTCAAGGGCTTCTCTAACGCACAGGGACAGCAAGCAAGCCACTCACACCTCTGGGCCTCAGGTCTCCGGCAGGAAAGGGGGCGGACTCGGTAAGAGATCTGACTGGGGAGGGCCAGCCACCCTGACACTTGGAGGAGGGACTGCCGGGGCCAGGCCGAATGAGGAAGGGGAACAAAAGCGCCCGAGGCCTGACCTACAGCTGTCCCAAGGCCTGGCATGTACAGACACCCCACCTTGCCCAGGTCTGGGTTGTGCCCCCACCCCCGGATCAAGTTGCCTAATCCAGGCTCAGTACGTGGGGCCCTGAACAGGCGCAGTGCCCGGAGCAGGAGGACGTTTCTTTCCTCAGAAGGAATTTCTACCCCGTTGGAGAGAAGAGTCCAGGTGGAATGTGGAAACTCCAGTAACCCCAGCCCAGCTCAGTCTGCCCCACTGAGGCAGAGCGGGGTGGGTCACTAGAGTGCCCAGACCAGGCCTTTGCCTGGGTCGTCTCCCGTCACAGACAGACCGGACTCCCCTCTTCCGGTGCTGTCTTCTGGGCAGAAACAAATGCCTTGCCTCCCTTCTTCATGGGGTGGAAGCCTCCACAGCCTCTAATGCCCACTCAGATGGCACCCCTGTGAAGCCTTCCCCGCCCACCCCATCGGACTCCCGTAAGGCCCTGCACCGTGCCTCGTCCCCTGCCCGCACCACACAGGGTCATGATCGCGACCACGTGCCCCCTCTCCCACCAGACTCGTGTCTCTGGAGACGGGAACTGTGTCTGAATGGCCCTCGCAGCCCGTCACTCCCTGCACCAGCTGGCACGGCCCAGGTGCTGAACTGGTCCGTGCAGCATGAGAAGTAACACGAGCTGTAGCGTGAGCTCTGTCCTTGTGAAAGAATCTGAAAGAAGTAGGTGGAATTGATGGCAAAGGAAGAGCCAGAATTAGCTGTTCTTCACCGAGCACAGAGCATGATTTATAGTCTCTGGTGTGGTCCTTACAACAACGCACGAGGCTGGTATTACCCGTTCCACGGAAGAGACCGAGGGTCTCGGAGAAAGAGATTTGTGCAAAGTCAGGCAGCTGGGTTTAACCTGGGTCTGCAAGCCCCCAGATCTGCACCCTGCGCCACAGCCTGAGAGGCTGGGGGGGGGGGTGTGAATTAGGAGGCTCGGAGCCAGGGCTACAAATCCAGAGCCAACATCAGGCTGACGATGAGTTCTTCAGCCAGGGACATCCCCCAACCTCGCTGCCTCAGGGCCACCCACCCTGCGTGGTCACTCACAGAGGGGGCCTGGAGTCAGGAATGGCCAGAGGGGGCGTGGGCAACGACAGGAGCAGTGCTGGGCTGGCTGGCAACGAGCGAGCTTGGGTTGGGGGAGGCGGGGCAGCCGCGAGGGCCCTCGGGTGGCCGGCACTCCCAAAGCCCGCAGGCCCCTGCCCAATAGGGGGTGGTGGGCACCTGCCCTCGAGCACACAGTGGCAGGTTCAGGGGGACACGCGGGGGCCAGGCCCACTCTCCAGAGATGTCACAGGGCAGTGAGCAGAGGCACAGATTTGGCATCAGAACGTGGGGGAGGTTACACCCTGGCTCAGACACGTGCTGGTGACTTTGGGCAAACTACACAAATAGCAATAACGCTTACTCCATGCCAGCCTGTGCCACATGCTCTTTATCACCTACATTTAGCCACCACAACCCCATTACCACGCCCACTTCAAAGATGAAAAAACTGAGGCACAGAAACAGTGGCAGCGCCTCACGCAGCTACGCTGGCAGACGTGGGACTGGGCTGCCTCGGCCACACCCGGACCAAGGGTCAGAGGCCACGACGGCTCTGAAGTGCTCTGTGGTCCTCAGGTGTACTGATTCGGGATGTCGGCCGTGGAACAAACGCCAGAGCCCTTGATGCCGCCTTAAGCATCACAGAACCTGGGCTCTTAAAGGACCCTTTCTAAGCCCCAAGTGCAGCTACAAACCCTCCACAAATCTCAGCCGCACAGTGCTCCCCAGAGCAGGAGGCTCAACCCCTCTGGAGGGCAGCCCACTCCCCAGAGGCGGAGGCGGGGGGGGGGGGGGGCCTTCCAGGGACCACAGCTGCTTCCTCCTGCTGCCCCGCCCACCCAGGAGTGACCTGCACCTTGGGGCACAATTGGGGAGTGAGGGAGTGGGCCCTGGAAGCCCAGGACACTGCTGCACAGAGGGGAGGTGACAAGTAGGGTGCTCGCCCCAGAAAGAGGCCAGAAGGTGCAGTAGGCAGCCCTGGAGGCTCTGGGCACCACCTACTGACCCTGCCCCGCCTTCAGAGCCTCCCAAAGCCATCCCAGAGAGCTGTGCCCACCGGGTTCCCCCTACTTTGGAAGCACAGACCCTGGAGGACCACTCACACCTTCCCGTTTCACAGATGACAAGCTGGAAGACCAAGGAGGCTAAACACATGCCCAAGGCCACACAGAAAGTCACGGGAAAGTAGAGCTAAAGTCAGGGTTTGGGAGCAAGTTTTCAGTCACAAACACCAGCCTTTTCAGAGGGCAGGCGGGCTTGGAAGCATGTTTTCGGAGACTCAGGTGACATGGTCCTCCCTTCTCCCAGTGCCCACCTCTGTGCCCAGGTACTGGGCTGCCAGACCCCAGCTCCCCTCTGCTCTGCAGGGACAGGTGGCTGAAGACAGAGAAGTTCTCAGAGCAGCCACGGAAGGGCCACATCCACGGGATCTGTCTCTCCAACCTCTTGCCTTCGTGTCCACATGGGCACCCAGACCCTGGACAGAGGGATCTGCTCCACAGTCGGGAATGACGGGCCCTCCTGCGGAGACCTGAGTCAGGCCCACCCGCTTGGTCTCAGCTCTGTGCAGGGTACACACCAACTTGGCAAGTCACCCCGACGTCAGTACTACTTCCCAAAACGCCTGGTCAGGGGGCTCTTCCTCGGGGCTGCCCATGGCCTTCTCGGTGCTGGCTTCACCTGACTGCAGGGGGACAGCCGTCCAGTCTTCAGGACAGGCCTGTCAGAGAGGACTTCTGGCTGCCGGGCAGCTTCCCAGGCCGCGGGGCCTGTCCTCCACCCCTCTCTACCACACAGGAGCCTGGCCACCCCACACTGGGAGGCCACCCAGGAAATTCAAGTGGCCCGCTCCCTCCTCAGCCAGACTCTGAGTGCTGAGACCAGGGTCCAATCCTTCCACCTTTCTGGAGTCTGCCAGGGGCACGTGGACGGTGCGGACCGGCAAAGACATGCTGTTCCTCCCACAGGGTGGCACAGAGCGTCCCAGGGACCACGGGTTACCCTCCACCTGGACTTTCTCACGTGGAGTCGGGCCAGGAGGGCGGTCTGGTGACTCTAGGCCGTGCTGACTCCACCCCCACCGGAACCAGAAATGCTTCAGGGCCACAGCCCGTCGGGCCATGTGCCCCTCCACTGGAACCCGCACAGAAGCCCCTGCAGAGTCAGCCTCGTTCTAACAGGACCCACATCTGAAAAGATTCCCGAGAGGTCCCACCCGACGTGACGCATACACACTCACAGCGAGAAAACAGTTAGTTTTAGAAGGGGCCACGGCCTCCTCCTGGGCACTGCACTTCCCCAAACCAGAGTACAACCCGCCTGAGGGCTGGGGCAGGGGCAGGGCCATGCCGGTCTGCTGGCCCCTCAGGCTGAAAGGCAACACGGGGTCCACAAGAGCAGGTTCACCCCACGTGGATCTGACATCCGTCAAGTAGCGCAGACCACCCTGTGCCCACTGCTCGGGCAGGACCGCTGCGGACCGGCACTGCCGCCAGCATCTCATTCCCCACTCGCGCTGCCGCCGGCATCTGCTCTCGTGCCCGCGTGGCGCTGCGCGCTCAGCAGGGCTTTCCACAGGCTGCCTGAGGGCGGGCACCTCCTGGCGGCTGAGCCTAGGCCCACCTTCAGCTGCTGTTCTGGCCAACCTCACGAGGAGCCCCATGAGGCCACCACCCGGCCACCCCTTTTGCAGATGAGGGACTGAGGCCCAACCAGGCCGAGCCATGGCCAGAACTATGTTCTTGTCCCTTTCCTGTCCACTGGAAGTGACCGGGGCCGCACCCTGAGGGACAAGAGAAAGGAAGGGATCTGACATGCAGAGAATCCGTCCTCTCCCCTCTCTCAGCCTTGGGGTCCAACCTTCCCGGCTCGGCAGTGCCCTCCACGGCTGACCCCGACCCCGTGATCTGTCCCACACCTCAACCTTGCCCGGGCCCAAGTCCCACACAACAGCAGGCCTTTCTGCCCCCCAGCGAGGAGCTGGTACAGACATTCCGGGCTGCTCTGAGGGATCTGGCTCTGGAATTCAACACCGAACCCTCCATACCCAGAGGGTTACAGAAGACAGAGCAAAAACACTTAAGGGTCTCCATGCTGATAACATAAAGTAAAATAAAAAACAGGGAAGATGCCCTGGCCAGTTTGGCTCAGCGGTTAGAGCGTCGGCCTGCGGTCCGGAGAGACCCGGGTTCGGTTCCCGCTAAGGGCACGTACTTCGGTTGCAGTTTGTCCCCGGCCCTGGCTGGTCGTGCGGGTGGCAGCCACTCGATGTGTCCCTTCACGTCGATGTTCCTCTCTCTCTCCCTTCCTCTCTCTCCCTCCCACTCTATCTGTACAAAAAAAAAAAAAGGAAAAGTATCCTCGGGTGAGGATAAAAAAAAAACAAAAAAAAAAACAAACAGGGAAGATGTTTTCAGGGCCCCTGAGCTGACAGGGGTGGGGTGGGGAGGGGAGGCTCAGGTGGCCTTACCCTGTGCTAGCATTTCCCTCCCCTCAGGCACCCCTCAGGGCCTACAGGAAAGCTCCACCCTGCACCCCGCTTGGGGAGGCCAGGAAGCCACCCTGGGCCCAGGAGGCCTTGTTTGGAGACCTCGGCCTTCAGTGCCCTCGCCCCTCCTTAAAGCCGCAGAGTGGGCCGGGCTGCTGGTCAGGGATGCCGGAGACACCCCGAGGCCAGGAGGAAGTCCTAAACTTCCGGGACACTCTGCTCTCAGCCAGTCTGATAATGTCCATTCCCAGCTTCTAGAACCCCAATATACTAATGGCCTTGGCCAGGAAAAATGAAAATAAAACTGAAACTATAAAAACAATCACCAAACCTAGGCAACAAGAATCCTAAACACTGGTTTTGAGCCCCCAAGTGGGAAAACATCAATTCCTCGCTAAGGGGCTGCCCGGTGCCGTGTCCTGGCAAGAACTTGACCCTCCCCTCCCCTCCCCTCCTCACAGGCTGCCCTGTGTCCCCCTAGGAGGCGGACATGGGTCTCCTTCCCATTCTCGAGGTGCAGCCACTAAGCCTCCAAGAATCCAGAGGAACGGGCAGCGGACTAGGATAGAGTTTTCCTGCCCCCGACTCCATCCTCTCCACCCCCCAGATGGCCTGGAAGTCCGAGGCCACTGCAGATTTCTGCACCAAGAGCCCCTCTCATGTGCCGTGCAGGCTGGGGGGACCCGGGGGAGCTGGCCCTGCCGCAGATTCTGCCCCTCCCACGGCTCCTGGGCTGACCCCTTTGCATTCAGCCCCAGACGACCACTTGGCAGTAGCGGCCACTCTGGTGGGCTTAAGAGGAGGCTGGCAAAGACATGAGCTCTGGGAGAGTTGAAGAAAGAAAGAAAAAAACACAGAAAAACCGGAGCTGCAATGAGTGTGGGCTTGCCCCTTTTAGGATTGTGGGGCCCACGGAAGACAAGGCCTCCCCTAACATTTACACCACAGACGAAGCATCACCAAGAAGAAGCGGGCTGGACGCGCCGTAAGCACCCTGGAGAGGGAGCAGAGGGCGGGCCGTGGGGCGTGCACAGACGCCTCTTCCTACACGAGGGAGGTGTGTGGGGGATGCTCCACCACCCCTAGGGAGCCGGAAAAGTGTGGAGGGACAAGCAGGCTTCTGGGCACAAAAGGGAACGATCACCCTGGAACAAAACCTTTCTTCTCTCGCTACATGAAACTCCCCTCCCCTCATCTGGACTTTGAGCTGCTCTCAGGCAGTCGGACTGCAGGTAATTCCCAAGGAGGGAAGAAGAGAGCAGCCTGTGTCACAGCTCCTGCAGGGACAGCCACACTCCAATACTAGGAAGAGCGGGAGCCAACCGTGAGAAGGCTCTAGACCAGGAATGGCCTGCCAGACCCTGCCCGATGGCCCTGTGGGACCCCGTACCTGTGACAGGGTACAGAGCTGGGTCATAAGGAGCGAACGCTGTGTTGTAACTGTAAAGAGGTAGACAGGACACTTGAAATAATGTCTCTCAGGGGTTTATAAATGCTCCCCCCCCTTTTTTTTTTTTTTTTGCAAATAGACCACTCTGGTCAAAAGAGATCTTAGGCAGGACCCCAGTAAATGAAACAGGTAAAAGCTTGAGGTTGAAGTGAGCGGGACCTGGCCAGCCTGACCTCCTCTCGCCTGGACGGGCACCGCAGAGAACCATGCAGAGAGACTCCCTCCCCACCGGACAGGTGGGGATGGAGGCCTGTGGGGGCCCACAGAGGGCAGTGATTTGTCCACGGTGAATGGGCAACAGAGCTGTGGAGCATGACCGGCCGTGAATGGGAGGAGGCTTGGGGATTCCCACAGCCCCACCACTGCCTGGGTGCCAGACCCTCTGCCTCCAAACTCCTCAAACCACGTGCTAGCACACCCCTCCCCTGGAAGGGCCTGTCAACCAGGAAGGAGCTCCCTGGGGGTCCCTCAACTCTGCCTGCCAAGGGGGCTGCTCCTGCTCTGCGCAGAGAGAGTAGCTGGGGACCCGGTCACCCCCCTGTTCTCACCCCGGCAAGCTGAGCGACGCGCAAAGACAGACTGTGGAGAGAGGAGAGAAGGCGGGGGCACACAGATGGGCAGGGGAATGGATGGACACACAGGGTTACCTGTGGGCCGGGGCCCATGGGTCCCATGCCTCGGGGAGGGTTCATTCTCTGCATTGATCCTCCCATGTTGGGGTGCCCTGCATGAGAGAGTAGGTGAGCTGTGAGTGGCAGAGGCAACAGGAGGGAGAAGGAGCCCCTCCCCACTCCCGGCCCCGGGCAGCCCGCCCAGCCCTCTGACCTTGTTGTCGTGTGGGGTCCATGGAATTGGGCAGCAGTGGCTGGGTCCCAGGAACTCCTCCCGGAGGCTGAAAGAGATGTGAGACCCGAGCTGAGGGTAGAGGGACACGTCTGCCTGACCCAGCTCCCCACCTGACCGTCTAGGGCTTCTCATGGCCTCCCAAGACCATTCCTGCTGCCTGGGGCTGGGAAGGCGCCTGGGAGCGGCGGTGAGCTTGAGGGCGTTAAGAGCCCTGTGTGTGTGTGGGGGGGGCGGCGCATCGCTGGGAGAGGAGGCTGCCCTGCCCTGTCGCCCCAGCCGCTGCCTGCCTCACCGCCCTCGCCCTCGGAGGCAGCCATGCCTTGCCCCTTCCTACCAAGCCCAACCCTGTCTCCTTGGCCTCATGGAGATGCGACTCATGTTATCCCCACCTCCGAACTGGGAATCCAGAGGCCCACTAGCTACAACCCTGTGACAATGGGAGGTCCTTTCTAAGGGGAATGGGGAGGAGGTGACTTTGAGAATGAAGACAGGGGAAAATGAGGCCCAGAGGCCCAACTGTCCTCAGGAACCGACTGGCAGAGCCAGGATGAACACCCAGGACTCCTGACGCCCTCTTGGGGGCTGGGATATTCCTTGAGCCTGGTTACATCTGAGGCTGTTTGGTTTGGGGGATCCCAGGATGCTGAGGTGGATGGAGCAGCTGTGGGGGTTGGGCAATCTCAGGGAGGCAGGTAAGAGGCTGGCCTTGCAGGATTTCGTGGCAAACCATTGACCCTTGACCCTTCCATTCCTGTCCCCCAGGTGTCCTTCTCATCACCCTAAGCCAGGAGGCCAAGTGACCCTGCGCAAGTCCTGCTGCCTCCACCTGCCACCCCCCCCCCCCAGGGCAGGGTGGGGGGTTACTACCCCAGAGGCTTGTTTGACTGGCAGCCCCAACTGAGGCATGCTCCAAGAAACCCTCAGGGGGGACACCTGTGAAAGAGCCCCCCCCCCCCCCCAAGGACAAACATCTCTCGAATTCACAGCAGACTGGGAAATCAGTGTCACTTGGCGGGAAGTTGGGAAGGTTGGTTTGTAATACCAGGTATAGATAATGGTTTATTCTCCACTTGCTTTGCTGGGTACTTGCTCACTGACAAACAGAAACACGTCTCCTCTAGTGTCCCTTAATGGTGGGAGGAAGGGCCACAACTATGATGAGGCAGCATCTGTTCTCGCCCTGGGGCAGCAGCCAGTTCAGGCCAAGGAGGGCCCTGCGTGGGCAGGGGGAGAGTTGCTGTTGGGGCCCATGTGAGGCTGGCAAAGGAGGCCCACTTGGTGACTGGTTAAAACGAAGGGAGGTGTTGCCCTGGCCGGTGTGGGTCAGTGGTTAGAGCGTCGGCCCCCGCACTGAAGGGTCCCGGGTTTGGGTACTGGGCAAGGGTTAGGGCAAGGTGCAGGAGCAACCAACAGATGTGTCTCTTTCACATCAATGTTTCTCTCTCTCTTTCTCTCTCCTCCTCCCTTCCTCCCTTACACTCTCTCTAAAAATCAACAGAGAAAAAATCCTGGGGTGAGGACTAACAACACAAAGGCAGGGCCCAACTTCCACAGCCAGGAGAGCTGAAGGAGCAGGTGCACAGCGCAGGTCGCGGTCGGAGCCGGAGAGGGGTGGAGACTTCGGGAAGTCGCTCCCCAGCACTCCGACCCTCCGCCTCCTCACCTGTGAGGTATCCATGGAGCCCTTTGCTCAAAAAGCCAAGCCTCTAATTCTTGTCTAAATTTGTCTCCATGTCAGAGAAAACAGGAAACAAAAGACTTTCGAAGAAAAAAAGGGGGGGGGCACCTGATAGGCAATTTAACTTCAAAGTCGAGGCCCCTGGTTATGAGCATCTCTGTGGGCCCGGCCTCGGCTCACTCAGGGGCTCGCTTGCGGAGCCTTGAGAACGGAAGGGCTTACTCAGCGAACCCCAGTCTGCCTGGCGACTGAACCCCCAGCTCCGAAGGCAACAAGGGCTGGGTGCACTGGTGTTGCTGTCAGGTGTTTTTAAGGGCTGTTGCAAGGTCACTTGAAAAATTATACATAAAAAATATTTCGGTATAAAAGGAAACTTCCTTGAAGTTTCTTTAAGGCTGTCTATCCTCAAACGATAGTCGCCCGTACCGCACCAGCTCCCCTCCCGCCTGTCGACGGGCTGAACTGGGATGGGCGGCATGGAGGCCGAGTCTCCGGACCACCTAGAATCGCCAGCCCCGAGGGGCCAGCGTAAGGCACACAACCCCGGGCTGAAAAGCCCTCCCCGTAAGCAGCCCACTTTCCTAATTACACGAACAAATCCTTCCTTGTTTGCAGCTGGATCTGGGAAGCAGGCAGACATTGCTGAAGACTCCCCAACGTCTTGCTCCGCTGCCTCCCAGGCTCCCGGGCTAAGCATTCCTATGGGCCATTTCTCCCCTTAATAGCAGGGTTCTCTTTACCAGCCTGGCAATCCTCAAAAGCTTCCAGGAAAAAATGCACATTGTCAATTAACTTCATTAAGGAGGAAGACCCTTTTCCAAGAAGGGGCGGGATGGGAGGGGCAGGGGTGTTACCACCTTCCCTAGAATAGCTGAAACCCCGCCTTCCCACCCTGGCTGCTCCTGCCGCTGCCCTCCAAGGCTCCCGGGGGACAGGCAACACGCTGGCAGGGGCTGCACCAGGGCGCAGAGTGGACGCAGGGCCCTCTCCGGGATCTGCTTGTACAGCTCCCTTGTTAAAACCTGTCCCTCCAACTCCCAATCCTTTCCTCACACTCTAATGGGAGTCAAAGTCCAACTGGGGTCAAGGGTGGCCGAGTGAGAGGAGAGAGAACATGAGAAGGTACGGTACCTGGTTTCCCATTCTGATCGGGGGCCTGGGGCCGCCTGCGTATCTCGGTGACATAAAAGGCTGCAATTACAGGGAATTAGTTCAATGACAGCCCGTACTCCCGCACAGGGACAAACACAAATGCGCTCCACTCCACAAGGTCCAGTTTTGTTACAACCAGTGATCTTTTAAACTCTCTTCCTCCCGGTGGCCTCTCCCACTGGGCAAAACTTCCTTTGGGCGAGGGAACAATAGGTGTCCCACACAGGGGACTCAGACGCCGCATCTGTTCACAGAGTCAACTGGGTGATGGGCAGCAGTTGGGACTTTGCGCAGGATGCGGAAGAACAGTGACATGGATGCGGGCAAAGGAGGACAACCTCTGCTCTCGGGAAGGGCCGATAAGAACCAGAACAGGAACCCACGAGTGCGTCTTCAGGGTGCGCAGACAAAGCTGGACACGTGAGCACACGCGCGCACACAGAAACCAGTGACGAGGGGGTGGGGCGGGGAACGAGGATTCCAGGGGACACACAATGGAAACGGTAGGGGACAGCGGGCTCCCTAACGTATGCAGGGAATGGGCAGGAAGGCTTTCTCAGCAGCGAGTGCACAAAGAAAAGGCTAGGGATGCAGCTTTGGTTACAAACGAATGGTTAACCAAACTCAAAAACCAAACCAAAAGTGAGAGAGGAAAAAACAAAAACGCAAAGGCCACTGACAAGGTCACAGAAATGTTTTTCTTTTCTTTTGGTTTTGTATCCAAGCTGGGTGTGATGTCCAAGGAATGAAGACTCTCTTTAGAATTTTATATATATATATATATTTTTTTTTTTTTCAAAAGCACTTTATTTGTCAATCAAGCTCGAAGGCAATGGCAAGAGCACGTTTTGATTTTTGTTTTTCCTCTGCTGGCTCTGTCCTCCTGGTGCCCCGTGCCCCCCAGCGGGTGGGCGAGCCAAGTGCGTTACCTGACTGTGGGGTCCCATCATGCTGCTGGGATTGTGGGGTGGAGGCTGTGCGTGCGGCGAGGGCTGTGACCCCGGAGGACCCTGTGAGGCCAGACAGTAGAGGCAGGTTATAGATCACAGCACATGGAGAAGCGCAAGAGAAGCTTAAAAGAACAAAAATTAAACCAAAACGAAGGGTGGGCGGCGGGCGGGCGTGCGGGCGGCGGGCTCTGGTTGGCGGGGAGGTGCGAGCTGCTGCCTAGGTCGCCGGCTCACTGGTGGAGAGTGGCGAGCGGGAGGGAGAGAAGCTGACAAACACCTTCGTGGGATTTACGGGAATGAAGAATCAAATCAAGCAAAGCTCCTTTGCCAAAGCACGCAGGAGCAGGGGCCTGGGCACCGACCAGTGTGGGAGTGGAGTTTGCCATGTTAAATACGTTGGTTGGCGTGGGCGAGAGAGACTGACACTCTGCAAGGCACTCGGAGGCCCTGTCCTCAAGGAGCTCCCAGGCTGGGAGGACACACGGTCACCGGTGCCCAGAGGTCAGCCTACCACTGGAGGCTGAGTGGGAGCAGACAGGAGGCGCGGGGCCGAGGCGGGACACGGGAACGAAGAGGAAGAGGTGGTTCCGGAGCGCCCACTCCACGCACTGCACTAATTCACCCTCATGTGAAAGCGGCCCCATGAGGTGGGGTGTCTCAATTCTATTTTTACCAATGAGGAAACAGAGGCTCAAGGGATGAAGGGACTTGGTCATGGCCACACAACTGGGAAGTGGCAGAGCCAGCACGAGAAGCCTGGTGGGTCCAAGGGCCACCTCAACCCCTGCAGCCCAGAGTTGGAGTGGGCAGGTGCAGAGAGGAGTAGGGGGATGGGCTGCAGGCCCCTAACTACCAGGTGGGTGGGTGCAGCGGCTGGGCTTCCCACTCAGTTGGTGGTGAGCCATGCACAGTTCCAAGCTGACCCCCAAAGCCCTGGGCAGTGCTGACCTCAATGCCCAAGGAGAAACGGCAGATGAATTCACTTAAACCATGGGGTTGGTCCAACTGTGGGTTGCAACCTATTCGTGGGTGGAGAAATCACTTTAGTGGGTTGCAACTATTGTTTTTTTTAAAACCTAGGAACAGAATTTAAAAAAATAGACTAGAAAATATCAGAGAGCTTTGTGTGTTTTAAGGCAAATATTTTTCATTAACGTCGGTTTCACTTGTAAATACACGTGCATGCGCGCATGTGTACTGGTTCACGTCAAATGTGTTTCCTGCTGCAGATCAGTCCGAAGCATGCAAAGCCCAGATGGAGGCACCTTCCTGCCCACTTGGGGCATTCGGTGCTGGGTGCTGGTGCTGAGGAGCCCTTTTCACCCGTGACTGTGTTGTTACCCTTGGAAGTTGCCTTTGAGAAAAACTCAAACCATGCGTGGGAATGGGTGTGGTCACACTAAGAAGACAGGGAGAGAGAATCTTTGAGAGACACAAACAGGTTTCCGCCTCAGTCTTCTCCCTCGGAGTCAGGCTGCCAGCCTCCACCTGCCTGAGCTGCTGGGGGGAGCGACCCCAGGGAGGTGGCAGAGAAAGCAGGAGAGGGCCATACAGGAGTCCTGGGGTGCCACTAAGGACAGGCCTGAGTTTCGTGCCCAAGCCACGGCTGCTCACTTCCGGAAAGCTCCGCAGAGCAGATGTTCCCCTACCTGCCACGCTACTAATTTCAACAAGTGTGTATCTTTCTAGCGGCTGCCAGCAACGGCATGGTTTGTTACCATGAGCAATTTTCTTAATTAACAGACATTAATTAGCCATTTAGCAATTTTGCAAGCATTTGTTTAGCGGCTTTCCTAAACATGAATACCACTGTGATAATGGCACTGATTAGAGGGTCCCCTAATTAACAGTACAGGGAAGGAAAATTGAAATCACATAAATTAAAAAGGAAGGGGAAGTTAATGAAGGCGGGACATATTTGCACCTGCAAGTCTTTTGTACCATAAAACTTGGGTGCAATGTAAACAAAATAAGATAATTTGAAGCCAACCCTGAAAAAAGGAAAAATAAAAAGAACAGAGGAGGAGGGTTCAAGGGTGAGGTCCAGTTGCCAAGAGGGGGCAAAAAGGCCTTCTGTTGGTTCCTCAGCTCTTGGCAAGAAGGGAGCGCCTCCCCCTCGGGCCCATCGTCGCCCACCCTGGTAACAACCGCCAGGGCTTCCTTGGGGACAGCGGCATAGCTGTGACCGGGTCCCTCACACTTGTGTGCCCCATCAGCCAGGAGAGGCTGACTCTACGACTGATTCTAAAACACATAAATAAGGCACCTCAAGTGTCTAACACCAATGGGGGGCCTCGGTAGAGGCTAGTCCTTACCGAGGGTCAATATTAAAGCCTGAGTCCAGAGGGCTCGGCTGTGCCTCGGACCCGAGGTTCAGCAGGCAGGCTCGGTGTCCCTGAGTCAGTGGGCATGACACTGGTTTGCCTCAATGCAGCTGCAGGACAAAGGCCTGCTGAGTAGTGAAGAGCCAGAGCGGGACCGGTCAGTGAGGCCAGCCCAGCCTTGGGGAGCAGAGGGGAGCGAGACGGTGAATCTGGGGAGGGAGCCGCAGCTCAGAAGTCTCCCCTCTGACGTGGACCTGTCATTCAGAGCACCGAGAGCAAGAGAGCTCTGGCCCAGACCGGCCGGTCATCCGAAGAGAAAACCCCACCACAGTCCGCACAGGTAAAGGTGAAGCTCAGCACCCAGGGGAAGTTGCCCCTCCTGGACGCGAAGCCCCCCCACCCTGTGAGGCCCTGACCAGGCTCTGCTTCTAACCCTCCCAGTACCACTCCATGTGCCCGACAGCTTCCCCCTTCCCGGGAGCCAAGAGCCTGCCATGGCCCAGTGGGGCGCACTCACCCCTCGAAAATACCACAGGAGAAAGTGACCTCCTCTTCCCAGCCTGTACTCTCAACAAGAGACCAAAACAGATTTACAGCCTTTCAACTTGCTACCCACAAGGCTTGACACGAGGCAGACAAAAAGGATCTTGACCTTTGTAGGGATGGAGGCTTCTCTTTCCCCCAAATCTAAACAGATACGACAGGCAAGGGGCTAGGATGGAGGTGGGAGGGGAGAGGAGGGAGCACTGAAGCTGATGACTGATCTTTCCCCACAAAGGACAACTTCCCCGTGGGGCCTCCCTGGCTTTTACCTGCTAAAAGGTTGAAGTCAAATACATGCATTTGGAAGCCTGCTTGGCCAGGGCTGGTCCCCGAGTCCAGCCCCATCTAAACAGTCTGCGTAAACCTCTGAGGCTTTCTGCCTCAGGTGCTGTGTAATCAGTGCTCCTGGTATGCCACAGGGGAGGTGGAGGTGGGCAGACAGCTGGGGCACAGAATGTCGGGCTAGACCAGGGTTGGAGGGTCCTTCTAAGAAGCTTCAGGAGAGGGGCACCGGTGTGGCGATCACCTGTTTCTAGGGTGGTCCTGATACATGCTGCTACCCAGTGTCCCCCCCCCTTCACTACGGGGAGAAAAGAGGCGCAGTACGATAGCACGACATCCAAAGCCACTGACAACGGTCTCCTGACTCCAGCCCCAGGCTCTCTTCCGGGCTTCACATCCCCATGCATTTTAGATAAAGAAACGGGGTTTGGGAAATCTGGGTTCAAATCCTGACTCTGCTATTGACTGGACTTCTGTTCTCTACCCAGTGAACTGGGGACAATGACAGTGGTAATGACAGACACCCCACATGGCGAGCATGGCCCTGACCTGCACTCGCTCACGCAACATCCTGCCCTCCACCTCCCCGCCCAGGGGCCGAGGGTCGGAGAGCGAGGCCACTTGCCCAGGCTGCACGGCTACTGAAGGGTGGAGGCAGACCCCATGTCCGCGTCTAGGGCCCCTGGGGACCTGGGCCGGCCCACCCTTCTCTAAGCCTGTGAGCAGGACAGAGGCCAGAGAGGAACGTACTAGAAGCTCACCCACATACATGTCTAGGCTCTGAAAGCTCCCAGGCTAGTTGGGGGGGATGAAGACATGGTGACAGACAAGCTCAAGAGAAGGTGACAAGTAAACTGAGGCCCAGAGTGGCCACAGATGGAGGCCAGCAGGGCGCTGGGATGAGAACCCAGCTGGTAAAAACTCTCCATTGCAAGGCCTGGCCAGGGCTGGGGGAAGGCGGCAGGGGAGGAGGAGAACCCAACTTAGAAATCCCTCTACGCAGCGGTTCTCAACCTGGGGGTCGAACGACCCTTTCACAGGGGTCGCCTAAGACATAACAGTAGCAAAATTACAGTTATAAAGTAGCAACAAAAATAACTTTATGTTTGGGGGTCAGCACAACATGAGGAACTGTATTCAAGGGTCGCAGCACTAGGAAGGTTGAGAACCACTGCTCTACTACGGAGCCTGGGAAGGGGAAGCAGGAACTGTGCCCACTTCCTGCCTGGGCCTTCACTCTGCCCCAGACCCTGCTAATGGACTTGCCATTCGGTCCCAGACGTTCCCAAGATCTCTGACCGGAGATGGGTAATTCCCGTACTTCCTTTTTATTCTTTTTCCTGCAATTTCAACACTGGGTCGTGTTAGATCTAGCAACTTCTGAGAATCACTTAGGCAGGGCCCAGGGAGGCTCTGTGACGGGTGTGACCGAGGCAGACCATGGGCCATTCCACCAAAACTCTGAAGCCTGGACACAGTTAAGTGAAGAGCCTTTACTGAGCACTGATGTGGAGGGGAGTGAGCCAGGACAAGGGAGCTGGGGTCTGGAAAAGCACTCAGAACCATCAGCAGCACCCACCCTATGCCTCCTGGTCAGGACTTGGGTCAAGTCCCTGTATGTCACCTGACGCCATCCTTGAGAGATGGGCTGAGGTGTGATGGGGAAGGCTTCAGTAATACCAGCTCCTCCAAGACATAACGTGAGTCTAGTTTCCTCATAAGGAAAAGGGGGACACTCTACAGACACTGCAGGGCTGTGGTACCGCTGGAGGTACAGAGGGTTCGCTGTGTCCATGTCCCCATGCCTCATGCTCCAGTAGCCACGCACTGCCCATTTACAGGGAGGGTGGGAGCGGGACTGGCCCCATACTTCCTCCTTCGTGAAGGCTGTCTTGCTATCCACTCAGGTGC